CTCTTACTATGAAAAAAAGAAAAATAAAAAGGAGACATTTTTAATTAGTTACATAGCTAATTTTGCTTTTGCTAAGAGCTGTTTCGTAAATTGTGCTTTACAGCATTATACTTTTATTTATTTTTCAGATTCAAAATATTGTATAATAAATTGCCAAAATTAAACTTTATAATATGACAGCGAAAAATAAAAATGTTTTATTTTAATGTTATTTTTTAATATAATTTCAATATATTACCATTATTTTAATGAAATTTATCAATGTTATGAAGTTCTAAAAAAAACCGTCGAAACATCCTCAGATCTCAGAATTAAAAATTTTCAATAGAAACTGATCTTATAATCGCCAAAATGTTGACAAGTCACCAAATTTAGAACCGCTTAATAAAAGAATTCACATTCCCAAAAGCAAAATGTTGTTTAAGAGCTCTTTATTAGAAAAAATGAATTTCAAAATGCTTATGTTCCACTTGCTTAAAAACTCGAGTATCCCATCATTTTTATAAGAAATAGAAACATATTGTTATGAAGTCACGACACCAATGTTCTGTTTCTATACCGGCATCTACTGGTGTAAACACCGATACAAAAACAGAAAGGTGAAACCGTAACTGACTAAATATCAACTGAGAAACTAAAGTCTTAAGAGTTTGCTAATTACCAACCCTTTAGTGATGGTATAGCTAAAACGGTAATGCATTGCGTTGTGAAAATGCATCCGGGACCGCGCCGTGAGAGGATCGAATAAACAACATGTAAAATCAATAATATATAAGAAAAAACACATAAAAGATATAAGAAAACATAAGTAATAGGTTTCCAGATTAAATACCGTTTATTCAAATTCCTCACAATTAAAATTAATCTTATCCTAATCAGAGAGTCAAATTTCTTTATTTTTGTTACGTTTCAATTTACTTTTTAGACACAGATGAATTCTTCAATTTGTCATTTTCTTTTGTTACATTTAAATTCATGATTTGCAAATCTATTACATGACCCTTTTAATTTAACGGGTACTCGTTCTATAATTTCTAAGAGGTTAAAAAAACATATTATTTGCAATTCACATCTGTTCTAAGGAAGATTACACAAACAACTTAAATTATTACATCCTAATTCATATAAAGACCTTAAGGTTTGTCTTGGTAAATTAAGAAGGGGATAGGGAAACAATTGAAAGCCTGAGAATTAATTTAAGATTAGATGTTGTTTTTACATTCCAAGGAAGTTGTTGAAACCTTACTTAAAGTTCAAACACAAAAAATAAAACTTATCTGGGGAGGACATCTTGAAGTGGAGGACTCGTATCCTATTAAGAGTTGACGTCGGCGGCGCTGATCCATGGTTGCAAATGGAAGTTTCAGAGGACATCATCCTGTCCTGGCACTATTGGCGAAACTGTTAAATAGCTTAAGTTCACGCCGGGAAATAATGTTATGAATCTTACTTCACGGCACCAATGTTATATAGAAGAAAGTTTCGACACCAAGGTTAAATAGTTTTACTTCTAGGTACCATGTTATATCTGAAATTCCTATATTGTTAAATGTTAAATATGAAACTACTTGCCGTAAAAGCAGTAATCGTATAGTGAAACGTGTACAGCATTTTTGCGTTTGTGAAAAAAATGCATTCCGGGACCCGCGCCGTGAGAGGATCGAAAACATAAACATATACAAGATATAAGGAAAAGTTCATATTAAATATATAAAGAAAACATACTGTAAGAGGTTCCAGATTAAATATCAGTTTATTCAATTACAACACCAATAAGAAAAATCTTAACCTCATCTGAGAGTCTGTTCATTTTAAATTCATAAAAAAACTTAAGGTTTGTCTGGTGATTTAAAAGAAAGGAAAGGGAAACAATTTAAGGCCCTGAGAGTTAAATTTTAGATTTGACGTTGTTTTTTTCTGCTAAGGACATTTTGAAAAGCTTGCCTAAAGTTCAACCACACCAAAAAAAATAACTTATCTTGAAGGGACTTCTTGAAGCGGAGGACTCTTATCTTATCCCGCGTTGATGTCGGCCGGGCTCATCTTGACACTGGTTCTAAAAATGTAGACCCACTTCACTACTGTAGACAGAACAGGAGCACTGCTGCCCAGGACGGCTATCCGCTTGGTCCTGAAAGTCCTATGTCAACACGCAGGTAACTCGTTCAAATTTCGCCGGTCAGACGTTGTTGCTAGCAAATTCCGGCTCGCCTGTTCTTACTCATCCCAAGAGCAAGCTCACGGGGTAACGTCCAAGAAGTTCCAGAAGTAACATCCACAAGTCCAGCCAACAGTAAGTGCCCGAGTCAAAGTACGAGTGTAAGAGAGTCTCGCCTCTTAACCAAAAACGCGGCCGGGGAGCATATTTGCCGCTCCCCGCCGGAACACACCTCTCGGAGTCACTTACATTTTGTCCAGCAAGCCAAAAATCAGCGATTCGTCAGAGAGTCAGCCAAAAGTAGTGTGTCAGAGTAATGTGTATCCAACTCGAATTCCTTCGTCTCTCTTCACAAACGGGCTCCCACTATGGCTTCACTTATCGCCCCCTTAATTATCGCAAAATCTTCGTTTTCCAACTCAGAATGCGGAAATAAGGGTGATCGCGCATGCGTGCCCTTCTTCACTTAGCCAACAACCGGACCCTCAATCGCCAAAAACCTGAATGACTTACATTGAAAGACAAGTAGCAACTTTGACCTTTCCGTCACGACTTTCCTCTCTTAAGGTCAACTACAATGAAAAATCTTTCTCGAACATTCTAAAGCGCGCGAAATCATGACTTGGCGAAAATTGCCTCCCTTTCCCCGCCTTCTTTCACAATGAATAAAAGTTTGTACATGATTTGCAAATAAAAGAAAATAAATAATATTCATTTATACCAAATAATATTTCCCGAAGCATCCGCTTCTCCCCAAAATTAAAGCCCCAAACTAAATAATTCAGAATCAAAACAAAATTCAAACTTCCACAAATCACAAAATCATCCACCTAATTTTTACAACGCTATCCGGTAATTTCTCTACATAACACTTGATTTAACTTCAGTAACTGGTTTTTCATAACGACGAAGCAATTTTCACTCTGGAAACCAGAAACAGGAGCACTGCTGCCCAGCACAGCTGTCCGCCTGGTCTTCCCGCTTCGAAAAAAGGGCCAAGTCTTAATCCTGAAAGTCTTAAATCTTCTGCAAAAAAAAAAAACTTGTGCACGTAGGCCGAGATTCTTAAACATTTTTAGTATAATTCGCCCGGGTTCATTTCGCCTTTTTAACCAGAACACGCAGGGGAGCACGTTTGCAGCTCCAGCCGGAAACGTCTCTCTAGCAACAGCTCGCCTTCTATCGCTCATCCAAGAGCAAGCTTGAAGTTACAATCTTAGCCCAAAAGTAAGTAAGTCCACCCAGTAAGTCATTCCAAGAGTAAGTGATTAAAAGTCTTTTAAATCTTTAAAGATACTCATCCCTATTCTCGCCTCTTAGCCAAAACAAGGCTGGGGAGCATATTTGCCGCTCCCCGCCGGAAAAACGTCTCTCTTCGTAAATTACATTGTTTCTATTGCTCAACCCCAAGAGCAAGTTTCAAGAGTAACGTCTAAAAGTAAGTTCAGCAAGCAAGTCTCGCACGAAAAGTGATTCAAACCTCAAATTTTCTTCCGTCTCCTTCACAAACGCGGGCTCCCAATATGGCTTCAATTATCACCCCCTTAATTTTGGCAAAATTTGCATTTCAACCCCTGAATGTGGAAATAAGGGACGAATGCGCGCTCCTCCTTCACCTAGCCAACAACCGGACCTTCCGATCGCCAAAACCTGAATGACTTCCATCGAAGGTTAAGTGGCAATCCTCTGACCCTTCTGTCACGTACTTCCTGTCCTAAGGTCAACTGCACAATGAAATTTCCTAGAACATTCTAAAAGGACAAAGCGCACGAAATCATGGACTTAGCAAAATTGCCTCCCTTTACCTGCTTTCTTTTCACAATGAATCAAAGCTTGTACAAAAATTGCAAATAAAGGAAAAATAAATAATATTCTTTTAAACTAAATAATATTCCCAGAAGCATCTGTTTTTCCCCAAAATTAAAGCTTTAAAATAAATAATTCAGAATCAAATAAAATTAAGATTTCCTTAAATCAGAAAATCACTCACCTAGTTTTTACAACGCAATCAGACGCCATGAATCCATTCAAAAGATAACCATATATGTCAGTGAATTGCAAAAAATATTCCTCCAAAATACTATCAAACTCAAAATGGCAGTAGTAAAAACAGACAGAAATTTCAGATGATTAAAATTAAGGACCTTCTGCTGATTTTGGCCACATTTAAGGATTTTTAAAAACCAAAAATCAATTCCAAAAAATTTAAAGACTCTTAAGGACCGTACGAACCCTGTACTAAGATTAAGATGGCATGTAGAAATTATGAAATTAAAAATATAAAATCATGATTTATAAAACAATGAAGCATTTATGATTTAAAGAGTATCAATATTGGAAAAAAAAAAAGCTTAATATTTATTTGTTTACTTTATTAAACATTTCTTTCAATGCAAGTTAAGGTGCTTCGTTTTTTGTGCTAATACTTTCTCTTTAATTCTATAGATACACATTATTTCTTATTCAGGGAGGGGGATCAAATGTGCATGCGTAAAGCATATAAAAAATAATAATTAAAAAGAAACTTATAAAAAAATGGTTGGTGGTGGCTTTCAGATCTGGATTTTAGATCATTACGGATATTGGACATCCGGATCTTGGTTTTTGTGCTGTATAAACTTTTATAAAAATATAACTTTAAAGATGAGAAAAGTCATTAAAAAAATTAAATTCAGTTATTTTTTACAAAATTGATTCTTCAAATTTAAAAATATCAAATACAAACATTTGCTGCACTTGAGATATTTTTTGGAAGTGGAAGATGTTTATGACCAACAGTTTAAAAAATAAAGACCTTGTGAAGACTTCTATAAAACACTATAAGAACAGATAACAAACTCACATTCATGAGGAAAATGGCGATAGACAGCCCACATTCTATCTCTTGAAACTGACAAAAGATATTCATCATCTGGAGAAAATTCCATTTGAGTGACAGTCAAATTATGGAACAATAAAGTTGCTACTTGTCTCCAAGTGGATGTGCTCCATAAGATGATTCCAGCATGTTCAACTTTTGAGGCCTTTAAAAAATTAGAAGTTGAGTTAAAAAGGGGTGGGTTAAAATCTCCTATTTTTTAATATTCTTACACATTTATACTAAGGAAATCCCAGGTAGGAAAGAAAAGCTTCAATTTAACAACGTACTTTTAAAAAGATGAAAGTAAAATTAATAATTAATGTACATAGTATTGTTTAGATAAACTTAATAATGTACTATATATTGGAGAAAACCAAAAGTATAATTATTAACTGATCAAACATTGCTTGAATACTCATATAAAAATACAAATGTCTTGTCAGTGGATTAAAATAATTCAGATCAAATGAAATTTTAACCCCCCCCCCAAAAAAAAAATTGAATACGAAATAGATCATAAAATGTGAAAACAAAAAATTAGTACAATCCAGATGAAGTAAAATTTAACGAGAAAAATTATTCTAAAATTAAGTAGGAGTGGGGAAATAGAATTTGTATAATTCAAGTTTCATTAATGCAATAAATTTCAGTTATTACAAGGAAACATTTTTCTCACCAAAAGCTAAAAAATTAAAACTGGGAGAGATGGTTGCTATGCAGACATATACACTATCATACATATATTTCATACTTTAATTATAAATTTATCTAGTAAAAATCACTCACTTGCTTACAGGAGAGTTTTTGTTTCTTTTGTTTTAGCAAAAATTTCATTGCAATTCCGTGGCAAAAAAAAATGCATCATTGCATAATGTTAATGCAGTTTCTTTTATTTTAAGCAGATTTTAAAATCCAATTTAAGATAAAAATATATCACAAATCTGTTGATACTTTGAATACAACAAAATGAACACGTACAAAAATGGCAATATTGCTTGTTCAAACTGCAAAATTTTTATGTGCTAATTCGCCATTCTAAAAATTTGGCAACTTCTAAAGCAGGTGTATTAATATGAAGGTACAAAATATTAACATTGTCATTATTCAAAAAGTTTTATTTTACAGTATCCAATCAGCCAAAAAATATTCCTGCAGTTATATTTTATTCAATATTATGGAGTTATTTATTTATATTTACAGTTATTAAGATGGAATTATTTATTTATATTTTATCCAAAATGAACACACTCACCTTACAAGCTGAAGCAATCAATGTTTTAGAATGATTTGAAGTAACAGTAAATACTTCATATGGATGTCCATATAACTTTTGCACTTCAGGCCACAATGTATTCTGCAAAAGTGTTTCTTCAGTTGGAGGGGCTGAAAGGAATGGGGAAAAAAATAATAATAATCACAAGTAAGGAAGTTGTTGGAATGAAATTTTAAAATTACATGCCACAGAATAAATAAAATAATTAAAAAAAAAACACCCTTTCAAAATCTAGGAATGGAGAGTATAACACTCAACAAAAAAAGAAGCAGGTGTACCATAAATGCAATTTTTGTCTTCACAAACTGAAGTTTCTGCTAGTTACTTTCAAGCATCTGCTGCTGGGAAGTCGCAGCTGCTTTGTAGCCAGCAATAATACAATGACTGGTATTTTACTAATGTTGGTCAGGATCACACTTTCAGCCTTTTAGTGGTTGACAAACATATTGTAATCCCTGAAGGTCCTAAATTCTGCTCTCCAGTACCTCCTTAAATTCTGAAAATTTTACCAACCCTAAATTCTGTTGCCAAGTACCTCTCCTAAATTCTAAAAAATTTGCCATCTTTAACTTTTGCTGCTCTGTGCTGATCTAAATTTTAAAATGTTTGCCATCCTTGAATTTTGTTGCCCAGAATCTTTAGAATTCTGTTTTTCCATTTTTACTCTATTGTAATCTATTTCTATTATTACTATTATTTATTTTCTTTTCTTTCTATTTTTTAGAAATAAATAAAAATATTAAAATTAAAATTAGTTTCAAACTAGTCTTTGTAACCAGTTAGAAGTAAATTTCCTTGCAGAATGCTAATCTTGCAGAAGTAATGCTAATCTTACATGTTTTCCTACCAAGGTGAGTGTAGTTTACTTTTTTATTTGTCTATACTTGCCTTTGATGAGTATTAAAACTAGCCTGGATTATAAAATATAGTTATTAAACAAAAAAAAGTTTAAATTTTCTATAATGAAATACATCATTGCCTTTCCACCTGACTAATATAAACATTTAAAAATAATTTACTTTCATTTCAATGGTACATCATGTATTTCGCAATAATAAGCTTTATTTTATTTCGTAACAAATTTATTATCAATATTCACTCATTTCTGTCATTTTTTGGGTCAAAAATGGTAAAATAACAGATGAAGTAAAAAATACGACACACGTGCTCATGTAAAAAAATTGCGAAGCGCGTGTGCTGGAAGGTTAATTAAGATATTGCCAGAGACAACATCTGCAGTTAACTCAAAATCATGGTTAATTCAATGGCAATTTAAAAAAGAACAATAAAAAAGAATAACACGCAGTATAAGTAACAGAAAAATACAATTAAGAATTTAACTGCATTTCAAAAAGTTTAATAAGAATAAGTTGTTGAGAATTTTTATGAGAAGTTGACAAGAAGTTTAATGAGAATAAGTTGATTTGGTTATGCAGATTAAATCAGTAATTGAAAGAAAAAGGAATGCTGTATCAACAGCAGGAAAACATATTAGAACTGAAGAAAAAAAGTTACAAATAATTAAAGAACAATATTTAGAACACAGCTTGAACAATATCATTGATTTGACTTAATGGAAGTGATAATGCAACAAAAATCAGCGTAATTTGCAGGACTAGTTTCAAAGGTTTAATTATAGAATCTTCTTATTCAACTGCAGAATTACAAATGACAAAAGTGTTCAGGTAATAACAGTGAGAGAATGGAAGTCAAACTACTGCTACCATCTACTGATGGGAAAAAAATTATGAAACAATTTCCTTAAAAGCTGGGAATAAAGAGGGATTGGAATTGGGATCATTTACTAGAACTGAAAGATTGTTATGAATGTGAAACACCTCTAGAAAATATAATTTGCCAATAACTTTAATTGCAGAAAAATGAAAAATGTGACTTTTTAACCAAGAGTTGCATAGCAGAAAATTAATATGTTACTTTTCCTCCTAACATGCTCTTTCATGCAAATTTTAAAGCTCTCTTAGTTTGACCAGTGTAAATTAAACCACACTGGTAAAGAATTCTGTAAATACTCAAGGAGTTCATATCCAGAATGGTGTATTTAAATATGGAACTGCAAATTTTATTCATGATCAATGATTATTGTTTTTTGGCACACATATATGGCAGACATTATCCACTTTCACTGCTGTTATCCCTTTTTTTACATATTTTTTTCAGACAGCTTTGATTTATGTTGGTGGTTTATGACAGTGATTATTCTATCATTCAGCAATAAGCAACTGCAACTCATTTCATTATGTCCCTAGTTAAATATAATATAAATGTAATGTAACAGAGTGTTATAAAGTGCTGCCTGCCATTTAACGAAAGCTACAGTTCAACAGATTTTTTTTTTTTTTTTTTTTTTTTTTTTTTTTTTTCAAACTAGCTACTAAAAATAAAGAATTAAATCAATCAAATGAAAACTAAAAAACTTGCAATCTAGAAACTTCAAAATACAGCTTAACGTCACAAAGAAATAATTAACATTTAACGTTTAGAAACATGAAATATCATACATACACTTGTCTTTCTTTTTAAATAAAAAAACATACAGGGGTTGGACAAAAATATGGAAACACTTTTAAAAAAACATATTTCTTTCCTTAAATATGCAAGGATAATAATAATCCTTGCAGTCTTCTCGGAATGGATAAATACAGTTCCTGTATGTTTGCCAAGGGAATATTATATCATTCTTCCTGCAAAACGGTGGCAAGTTCAGATAACGATGTTGGAGGTGGATAACGAGAACGCACTTTCCGTTCCAATGTAGACCACAAAGGTTCAATAATATTCAGGTATGGTGACTGTGGTGGCCAGGGGAGATGGGACAACTCATCCTCGTGCTCAGAAAACCAGTCCTGGACAATGTGAGCTGTGTGAACAGGGGCTTTGTCGTCTTGGAAGACACCATCACCATCAGGGAACAAAGTTTGTACCATGGGATGAACTTGATCGGCCAAAATGTTCACATAAGTCTTGGCAGTCATGTGCCCTGACACAGTTATCGTGGGGCTAGCAGAGAACCACGATATGGCTGCCCAAACCATAACAGAACCCCTGCCATGTTTCACTCTTGGCAACAAGCAGTCTGTATTATAGGCTTGAGATGGCGTTCTCCAGACGTAAAGTCGGCCAGAAGTGGGAAACAATGTGAAAGAAGACTCGTCAGACCATATTACTCGCTTCCACTGCTCTATAGTCCAGGCTTTATGACTTAAACACCACCTTTTCAATAATATTCAGGTCTGGTGACTGTGGTGGCCAGGGGAGATGGGACAACTCATCCTCGTGCTCAGAAAACCAGTCCTGGACAAGGTTCAATAATATTCAGGTCTGGTGACTGTGGTGGCCAGGGGAGATGGGACAACTCATCCTCGTGCTCAGAAAACCAGTCCTGGATAATGTGAGCTGTGTGAACAGGGGCTTTGTCGTCTTGGAAGACACCATCACCATCGGGGAACAAAGTTTGTACCATGGGATGAACTTGATCGGCCAAAATGTTCACATAAGTCTTGGCAGTCATGTGCCCTGACACAGTTATCGTGGGGCTAGCAGAGAACCACGATATGGCTGCCCAAACCATAACAGAACCCCTGCCATGTTTCACTCTTGGCAACAAGCAGTCTGTATTATAGGCTTCAGATGGCATTCTCCAGACGTAAACTGGGCCAGAAGTGGGAAACAATGTGAAAGAAGACTCGTCAGACCATGTTACTTGCTTCCACTGCTCTATAGTCCAGGCTTTATGACTTAAACACCACCTTTTCCTGTTACGGGCATTAGCATCACTGATGAGTGGCTTCTCAATTGCAGCATGGCCAGCAATTCCCTGTTTATGAAGCTCCCTTCTAATTGTTTTGGTACTCACAAGGTTCAGTAACACAATTTTCATTTCAGCAGTAACTTTTGCAGCTGTGGTCTTCTTATTTTTCGTCACCATTGCCTTAATGATCGTCTGTCACGATCACTCAGGACACACTTTCGTCCGCGCTGTGATTTAGCAGATGATGTTTTTCCGCTTTTCAAATATGCTGAATAAATCTTCAATACAGTACCTCTTGAAACACTAAACACCTCGTCTACCTTGCTTACGGAAGCACCTACCATATGTGCTCCAACAATTTGCCCACGTTCGAAGTCTGTTAACTCTGACATAATGCAATGACAACCTCACATAACAGTACTCCGACAACAACTTAACTGTTTAGCACATTTACGAAGTTGTATAGGTGGCGTCAGTAGTCAAAAACGCCAGTGCCACCTACATATTTCATTAAAATCAATCTCTCTTTTCAAATATGCATTTCACAAGGTGTTTCCATATTTTTGTCCATCCACTGTATATATAATCTATGTTCGTCAACTTATAAATTCATGCAAAACTTTTTAACTTAGCTTATTTATGTTTTGACAAGTATGAAAAAAGGCACACTTGTCAAGCTTAAAATCTTAAAAACCAGGAGATTTCTGTGAGATAACCACGAGGTTTTCATGCTGCCTGATGACACCATTTTAAAAGAAACTCGAACAAACTGACTTCATTCACTTTATATGAACTTTTGTAATTGAATTCTGATATAAAATATACTAATATTTAATTAGATGTTCTAAACTTGATGTTCTTGGTCTCATTTCTTTTTTATTTTGCTTATACATTTATACTAAGAAAATCCTGCATAATGAAGGAAAGCTTTTATTTATCAGAGTATGTTTAAAGATGATGAGAATAAAATTAATAATTAATATACATATGATTTGTATAGGTAAACTTAGTAATGCACCATAAACAACAAAATTAAATACAAATATTAACTGATTAAACATTGCTTGAATCTTGATATAAAAATCCACAAATGTGTAGAGTAGATAAAGACAATTCAGATCAAATAAAATTTAATGCAAAAAAATTTACTAAAATAAATGCCAATAAAATGTAATAAAAAAAACATACAATTCAGATAAAATAAAATTTAATAAGAATTTTTCTGAAGGGATGGGGGAATAGAATTTACCTAATTTAAATTTTATTAATTTAATAAATTTCATTGATAGCTAAGAAACATTTTCTTAAGTAATGGCTGAAAATTAAAAAACAAGAGATTTGAAGAAAATTGGTAAAACCAGAAAAGTCAGTAGGTATGATCCAGCAATAAATGAAATTAAATTAAATAATTAAGAGCCTTTAAATTGTGACTAACTAAAAATATCACAAAATGTTTATGCCTGTCTTTCAAGTCCAACTTCTCCTCGCAGAAAATAAAGAAAACATACATTAGACTGATAAAAAATCCAAGAAACCCTATTCTCGAAAAGGTGTTTCTATTACAGTAATTCTCAGAGTAATTAATAAGCCACCCGCCTCCCAGTGAGCATCACAGTGATTTAAGGGGGCACTTAAAACTATTGGGGGGCATCATATAATAATTGGGTGGTAAAAAATAATAGTGCATGGCAATATGCAAGTCCTCCCTCAATAACACCTTTTCAGTAACAAATACTTTACAGCTACATATATTTAACATATAGTTACTGCAGTTATAACATGACCCATTTGCTGTGTTATTGTCTGATTTTTTTTAAGTAACTGGTCAATGAATACCAAGCGCAAAGTTTGAAATTAAAAAACATAGATTTGACATTTATTTTGAACTCAACTTCACAACTACATAGAAGGAGAAGTAAGTACCTTTAATTACTGCATTATCATGTATTGTCACTGAAAATAAACATCTTTAACAGTCTGTAGTTTTTACATTTAATAAAAATATCAAAATTTGCCACTAAAAGATTTGACAACATGAAAATTAGTTTTCAGTTAAGTATTTAGAAACTTTTAAAATCTTATATACACAATATTAGGCTCAAAATTAAAAACTGGAAGATTCAGATTTAGTGATCTAGCAAGAGGCCAGCAAATGTGATGAAAAATAGGGAGAGGAGGCAGCTATGCAAAGGTTAATCAAATCTGTATCTTCAAATATTTGAATAAGATTTATATCTTGCTGTAAATTAATTAGCTCCATTTACAGATTTTTGGGTGCATTATTAATATTCATTTTTAATGGTAATGAAAATCACATAAAGTGATGTAATTAAAATAACTAAAATCTTGAAATCATTGTAATACCATATTTGCAATAAATACATAATTCAAATATATTTGTAGGTCGCATGTGGCCCATGGGCTGCCAATTTGACACCACTGGAATACTGTACTGCTTCAGTACAAAGACATACATTTCACTAGACTCCTGCAGGTGGGACAAATTCCCTACCTGTCTGCCCCATTGGATACTAACAGAAAGCAAGATTTTAAAAATGTTATGTTGTACATATTTTTAATATTTAAATTAGTTTTTCAAAAGAGGCCTGCATTATCTTTACTTAAATATACTAACTCTACACACAGTGTAAATATTACTGAAAGTTTATAAACAGAAAACACTGAAACTTTCTGATTTTTTTTTTTTTTTTTTTTTTTTTTTTTTTTTTTTGAAAAGTATAAATATATCAATACCTGTTAAATGGGTGGGTGTGTAATAAACATCAGGATATAAATCTTTAAAGTTTCGATTTGAATCCTCTTGGTCACATGGATTGGTTTTTTCTAAATCCTGTTGAAAAACGGCTTTGTTTGACAGTCCAAGTGAAGGAACAGTGGCTCCCTCTGCCAGCTATATAGAAAATTTCTCATAATTAAAAGACAAAGTGATTAAAGAGAAAATAAGATACACATTCTGTTAACAGATTATTTACATTTGCCTTATTCTGAATATTGTGTGAAATTTAGCTATGAGATCTCATTATTTATAAGAATAAAGAGAGAAAAAACATAAAATGAAAATTACATAGTTCTATACAAAGTATGTAACACATACCTACTAATTATACAAGAGTAAAAATCAGAAGAATTTAAAAAAAAGTCAAAGGAAAAAGTGTAAATTGTATTTGACACACTGAGGCATATCTGAATATTTTGTAGTAATTATGCAAGGGGGGCTGCTTATCCTAAAAAATGGAAAATTAAGCAAATGAAATTAATTTTAACATAATTACAGTAGCCTTTTGCATTTGCTATAAAGTAATTATAAAAGTAAAATTATATGTGGGAATTTATTTATTGGGGACTCAGATCAGCCTTAAGCATATATGAATCTGTAGTAATTCTAAATGCAGAAAATGTCACTACTGATAATGAACAAAGTGACACAGAGGTTGCTGAGAATAAAAAAAAAAAAATCATTTGACAGTTAGTGGGAATTCTCAACTTGGCTATTTCAGAACTTGCAACAATGGAACTTTAATAATGATTAAATAAGAAAAAGAGGAAAGAACATAAAATGAAAATTGAATGGTTCTGTGCCAAGTATGTAACACATACCTACTAATTATATAAGAGCAAAAATCACTGAGCACTTTGAAGCAATTACGCAGGGGGGAGAACAAAATTAAACAAATGAAATTCATTTTAACAATGTAATTACAGAAGCATTTTGTTTTTTTCTAAAAATAATTATAAAAGTAAAAGTATATATAGGAATTTATTTATTCAGGACTCAGATCAGCCTTAAGCATATGAATCTGAAGTACAGTTCTAAATACAAAAAATGCCACTACTGATAATGAAAAAAGTGACACAGAGGTTGCTGAGAATAAAAAAATTTCATTTGACAGTTAGTGGGAATTCTCAACTTGCTATTACAAGACTTGCAACAATAGAACTTAAATAATGACTAAATAATTCTGAAGCTATCAGCATATTTTAATTAGCCATTTGTGCACAAATAATCTAGATTTAATGTAAAAATTTGCAATTTATTAAGCAATTTGAACAAAACTTAAATAATAATAATAATCTGCAAAATTTTTTAACCTGAACAACATTTAATCCCAAAGAAGGTGGGATATTGAATTCTACTGTGATTTTTAGTATGAATGAGATTTTGTGATACACTGGATAAAGCAGAATATTAGATAATTTACAGATGCAACACTTAATATTGTTTGCCTTCAACCAAATTTCTACTGCACTTAGTAAGCTGTTTATCACTCACCTTATTTTTCAAGTAAACAGATGTGTCTACTTTTGCTATCTTTTCTAATGTTTCTGCAAAATTTCGAGGAGCTTCAAAAACACGAAGAACTTTTTCATCACCACCGGAGACAAATTTAAATCTATCTAACACACTTAAACAAACCATATCATATCCATGAATTTGAGGTCGTGAAATTTCATGCCAGTAGATCTAATAAATTTTAGAAAGACTCATTAGAATAAAACATTAGTACTGCTATGACAAAATATCATATATAAAATACCAATTTCATTCATTAAAAATGCAGCATAAATCTACACAAGTGAAACTGAGGTCGTTTGAGAATAGTAAAAAATATGCTTTGGGCATACCAAATATGACAAAATAATACATTAAAGAATATTACATACAGGCAAATCAGAAAACATTGCTGAATAACATTAAAGGAAGACAAAATCAGCTTCCTTTAATAATTATAACCTTAATTATTTTTAATTTAACCTTAATTATTTACCTTTTTTTAATTTTTTTAAAATTTAACCTTAATTACCTTAATTTATTTTTTTACAGATCTCTTAGTATATTTACTTGAGGGGTCTCTTCAAGGAAATTTGAAAATTCTAGATTAAAGTCTCAACTCATTAAAAAGAGAGATTACCCTTAAAAATCTCACATAATTCAAAAATGAAAACACACACACACAAAAAGAAAAAAAAAAAAAAGAAAAGAGAAAATCATGCAAGTTGCCTTGAAAGCACTAACAGAATTCTGTTGCATATTATTAATGCTATTCTAGCAGCGCCAGTAGAGTCTAATAAGAACTGGCAATCAACAAAACAATTACAAATAATTTTTGGATAGCACTGCAATTGTTTTGGAGGGGGGGAAAACATGTTTTCAATTATTTCTTTTTTATTTATTTAAAAAATGGATATCCCTGGCAAAAAATCATTTACACTTTTTTTGCTTGATCTTTCAGCACATCAATTTGCTAATTTTTCTTCATTTTCCCAGCTAAGCATTTAGTGAATAATTACACGGACATACAGCTTACAAAATTTGCTGCAGATGATGTCAGAAACTATAGTTAGAGAAAAAGAGGTAAGTTTATTAAAATGCCAGTAGTGATGTTTTCCAACCAATAAATGATTACCAAAAAAAAAAAAAATTATGAGCTATGATAAGTGGTAAATATCAAAATAAAACTGTAGAAATAAAATGACTTTAATTTTAATTGGTCAAGTGATCTGGATAATAGAAGTTTTAAAGGAATTAACTTAATTTTTAAGTAACTTTAAACAAACAACCTTTTTATTATTTATGTAAGGAGCATGCAAACGAGTGGTTTGATCATAGCTGCAGCTCAATAAGTACTCTCCATCAGGATCCCAATCAATATCTTGAACTGAAGAATAATGACCACCAAATGGTAAACCTGGTTGCCAGGAGCCTTCTTCCTTAAAGAATAACAAAAGAATTGTGGATAATGTTTATCATAAATAAATAAATCTCTTGATATCAAAGAAAAAAGTTTATAAAAAAGCAATAAACAAAGAAATAAACAACATTTGCAAGTTAAAAAAAAAATTAATGTTTATCTTCAAATCTGTAAACTTATAATTAAAACATATAAGACTTGGAAAAGCATTAAAATAATTTTGTTTTTATTCCTTTTCTTTAGCATCAGAGGTTTAACATCATCTCAAACCTCAAACTCTGTATATAAATTTTCAAATGTTGCCACCAAATATAGATTGACATTTATTATTTAAAACAAACAGTATAGAGAATGAAAAAAATATATATAATAAAAAAATGATGTTGCCACCAAATGTTATCAACATGTATTATTTTTAAGAAAAGAATCTACAGAATATAAAAAAATATATATATAGCAACATTTAACACTTTAACAAAAATTCTAAAAATATCCGATACAAAATATTTTTAACTTTCACGTGCCACTTTGCAGCCATTTTACAAAATAAATAAATAAATAAATAAATAAAATAAGATATTTCATTTTTCTTTAAATCTGTCTGTTACTGATTAACATACTAAGCAATTTAAAACAAATAAATGCAGTTCTTTATCTCTTTTATTAGCCTTTTCGGAACAGGATAGCCATTAGTGGTTGTGTCCTCCCCCTATACTCCAAGCTGAAAGGGTTGTATACAAAGGAATTGTATACTGTGAATTGCTGCCATTAAATCAGGCAATAAATTCAGAAACTATTGTTCGTTAATGGTAATTTTCAAAGTAGAAATCGATGTAAAGTGCTCAGACCAATCTTCCATGCATTGTTTTCCAACATAATAACATTCTGCCCCACATTTTGATGAATGTCACACAAAAACTTATTGAGTATGGCTGAAATGTTCTGCATCACACCGCATATTTACTAGACCTCTCAGATTTTCATCTCTTTGGTTATTAAGGCATTTTCGCCCTCCTTCCAGCATGCCTTCGTGGTGTAACTGTTGCACATTCGGAACATATTTGAGAGGTCCCAGTCCGAGTCCCAGCGAGGACAATGCTGACTGAAAGACTATTGTTTTCGTTTTGCGATTTTGCATTGAATCACTATAAATGTCCGTTTCACTTTTCAAACTGTTGCCACCAAATGTAGAGTCTAATAGAATCTTGCATTATATTTGAAGAAATTAAATAATGAAAAATCTGCATATATGTATGTCTATTTCTCGCATTGTAATAAAACGACGGTACATAGAGCCATCGAATTTTGAATGACGTAATCCACCTACAAATATGGGCATGCAGAAGACCAAATTTGTATTATCGATTTACATATTTAGTAAAACTTTAACAAATTTTTGAGTAACAAACTCAACGATTTAAAAGCGAGCAATGGCAACACTCTACAGTGGGAAAAAACCTTTTTATCTCCAGCAGGCGCTGAACTGTGTATGGGAAATTCTAAAGATATGCTAATTTTAAAATTATTTTACGACATTAAAATTATTTTACTACTGAACTGAATTTTATGGTTTAAGTGCAAAGAACATGATATTTAATAAATAAAGGTAACACACAAAACGTTAAAAAAATGCCCCTTTGGATGTAATTTAAAATCTGAAAACTTTCAAATTTTTTTTATTTTTATTGTTATAAAATTACTTTATGAAACTCCCAGATATGGATAGCTCCTTGAAAGCCATGACCGACAATGATTTCTCCGCAGGGAGAGAAAACTCCACCATAGAAGCCCAAGGTATTTCCACCCACTTCTCCAACACAAACCTAGAAATAACAAATGAACCATTAATTTATTTTACATCAGCACTTTGCCAGATTATAAAATATGAAAAGATTAAAATACCTTATCAGCACCAAATGTGTGAGTATTTATATATGTGTGTATGTGCGAGGCATTGGAAAAGCTGACAGCATAGATGTTAATCCATGTTTAGAAATACTTGAAACCATGCAGATGTAATAAGAGGCAATCATAGCAGGTTTAAATATCTGTTTTTTTATTAGAACTGACATCTGTAGCCACAAATAATTTGACACACTTTTCGAGCAGGTTCCAAAACAATTGCATTTATTAATATCTTTGCAATAAGAACAAAAGCAGCAAACCACCGTCTACCTAGGCCAAGAAGCAGAAGCGAAGTGCATCATCCAATATTAAGGCTTATTTCAATGGGAGAAAGGGATTATGGTTTGGAAATTTTGACTTTATGTCCTGAATTAGTTATTACTGAATAATTTTTTAACTGAAGTCGCTAAGTAAGGGATTATGTCACCAAACAGCTGGTTTTTGATTAAAAACAACTTTAGTTTGGCTTATATTTTGAAAAACTTTATTGATATCGAGAATGATCAGACAGAGATCCGTCCCTCTCCTTCAGAAGCAAAAAACATTTCTAAAGAAATTTTTCCTTCAAAATTTGTTAAGAAATTTTCCCATCCAGCAGGAAATTTCTTTAAAAACATTTCCTCCTGATCATTAAACAAAAAATTCCTCTAAAAGCACCTACGTCAAACTAAGGTTGCTTTTTTGCTTAACAATAAATTTTATATTCATATGTTCTCCAGTAAATGAAGGATGCCATTCAAGTATTAAGATTAGGGGTATGGCATGGGTCAAATACTTTCCTAAAAAGTTATGAACATTCATAATGAACTATCGTGTTAAATACGTTATAAAAAGGTCACAAACAAATTTTCACATTTTCTTGATAGATATTCTGTGAAAGTACTTATTTATATTGAGTGAAATTCCAGTGCTATTTTAGCAGATATTTATTCTCTCTGTTTATTATTATCACTCAGTTAATGTTACTGAAATAGATACATAATCACAAACACAAACATGATCACATTAAGCAGCCCCTACTGTACTGATTATATATGTACTACATTTTATGCATTAAACTGACTTGATAAATTGGTGGGTATAACTAATTAATGAAACATTTTAAACAGTTTTATTAATATGTGGCAGTTTTAAACAGTTTTTATAAATGGTAAGGCAAAACTTTTTCTGCCAATAAAAAGCCAACCTTGGTTATGATAGATGAATGTGAAAGAATGTGTCAACCCTGGGAAGTGAATAATAAATTTTAGTAATATATAATAAATATACTAAATACTTTTTCCATCCAAAGAGATGTAGAAGTATTGGCTTCCCAAATAATCATGGTTTTATCCATAGAGGCCGTGAGAAGCAAAAGTGACACATTTTCTTCTCCAATGTCAGACACACCTGTGAATAAAAAGTACAAAATTGCCTGTATTCTTAAATTAAACAGCAATGAAAATTCAAAACAGCCTACCTGTTAACTTCATGAGAAAAAAACATAAAGTGAATTTTAGAGAAAAAATATTTTGAAAGAAAGATGTAGGAATTTTCTTACTAAAAAATGGGATACTGAACAAATGCAATTAATTTTAACATATTTACTGCAACCTCTTTGATTTTGATAAAAAAGTTATTCAGAAACTGTGCTTTATAACACTCAGTAACTTTATAAAGTTTTGCAATCATAATGTTAAAAAATTATCAAAAATGGAACATTTTAAAACATGTCTGAGGGAAATGAAAATTTTATATTTTAATGCTATTTAAAAGAAACCTGACATTTAGGTTTGCAAGGACAAAGTGTTAATTTGTTTACCATTAGAGATCAAATAAATGCAATGATAAAAAAACTCGAGCTAATACTCAAAGAATTGGATAACATTTTAAGCTTCTTACACTTTTAGAAAGTTTTCTAACCGAAAATAATTTGAAAATAAAAGAAGGATTAGCATCTAAGATTAAAAATTACTGTTTTTCATTGATAAATAGATTAAATATGTATTTTCCTGAGGATTATGAAAAAGAAAATGTGATTAGAAATCAATTTTGTTTAAATGTACCTGAAATTTTATCTCATGAAGAAAAAGAACAATTGCTAGAAATTTCCTGCGATCAAACTCTAAAATTAACTGAAGATTTCAAAAATAGCACACTTGTAAACTTTTGGCTAAATAAAAAGAAGAGAATTCAAAGACATTTCAAATTAAGCCATTTAATTTTTATTGCCTTTTTGCACAACCTATTTACGGGAACAAGGACTTTCTTCCATTTCATATTTGAAAATTAAATACAGAACAAAATTAAAAGTGGATCCTAATTTACGGTTAAAAACTAAGTGAACAAACTGATCTGTCTTAAACAGGCCTAAATTTTGCATTAAATTTTAGAATTAAAATATTATAACTTAGAATTTTGATAATTAAAATGGTAACCAATTTTTATTTTAATATTTTTTATGTGTGCATATTTAATACAAATAGCCACTAGGTTGTGCAAATGGCAAAATATATTTTCTCTTAATATTTCTATTGAGAAATTGAAAAATAATCATTATAAAATGTAGTGGTGGTACTAAAGATTTTCAGTTTTTGTTTAGGTGGTACGCATTACTCAAAAGGTTGAGAACCGCTACTCTAGAATATTCTTTAATACTGGCTATTATATGCACATTAGCTGCATCTCCATCTTTTAATAAAATAAAAAATTGTAATTGTAATAAAAAACATTAAATTATAATATCTTAAAACAAACAAAAGGTTGATAAGTCATCAAACCTAGCGACACATAACCAAGCTAGAGCACCTTTTTTTTTTTTTTTTTTTTTTTTTTCCCCCCTGATGTAATCAATGTTGCCACCTTTTCAAAATTGCTGACCTGGCCATTTTAAAATTAGAATGTTTAGGAGAATGAAAAATTTATGTTTTTTTTTATTTTGTTTCGTTTTATTTATAAGAAGAAATAAATATTTTTAATAGATTTTCATTGCTATTGTTGATGTATTATTTTTAGATTATTATTATTTTATTTAAAGATATTGAATAATTTTTTTTAATCAATAAATTGCTTGGTCTGATTTGCTTCGTAAAAAAAAAATCAGTAGTAAACAAATTGCCTCAGTTAAACAAAAGGTTTAAATAGCAGCAACGATACATGTTGATTTACCTCAAATAATCAAAATAAAAATTAAATACTTATAAACTAAAACTAACATTTGCTTTACAATATTTGCATGTTAAAAATTCAAAATTACACTTGCTTTCACTTCTGGCCTTTGGGAAAGGTAGTAAAATCATATTCATTATCTGTTTAAATAAAATACTCACAAATATTTTTGCAAATTTATTTTATTTCATCATAATTTCAGAGTTATTATGAAAACTGGACAAATTAATAGTTAATCTGGACCATGAATCTAAAAATGGCTTGTCCCTGTGAAAACTGCTCTGGTGCCAAAAATGGATATAAACAAATGGATTCAGCTGATAACTCAAATTCTGCTCAGAATTTGATTTTAAAATAAAGATCTAGTGGCAAATTGGAAATTGGCTCGATTTTTAACTCCCATAGAAAACTACAAATTTCGGATTAAAAAAATAAAGATCAGAAAACTATAATAGTTTTCATGAAAATTATGAAACATTTATAATTTTTTATGAAATATCTATTTTTTTTAAATAGACTAATTTTTAAAAAGCAACAAAATGTAGCATACTTTTATTATACACCCATCTTGCAGAATAAACCCAATTTTCATGTGGCAAAATGGATTCTAAAGTCACACAATAAGTTTGACCTGAAAGTAAAAACATGAATATGAAATGTTTATTGAGCTAAAAACATATAAAGGTTTCCTAATCCCCCCCTTTTTTTTTACACACAGAATGTAGAAACCAGCAAAGCAACATTTTTAATGTTATAACTGCATCAAATTCTTTAAATTAAAAAATATGGTTAGAACACACAAAAAAATTAATCAAGCAAAAAATATCCAGATATATGTACCATATTTTCCCCCTTTTCTTAACTATGGGGTTGGAGGGAAAGTTCTGTCCTATTTTAAATAGGCAGGTGATTTTTCTTGTAAATAAAAAAAAAATCTGGCTAGTGAGTCAATCGGATTTTTTTTTGTTTTTTTAGCTGCTGTATAATATAAAAGGTGCCCTTTTTTACTGTTCATCATTTACTTGTAATATTTAAAGGGAAAAACATGTCGGTAGATAAAGTGCATGGTAGATAAAGTGCATTTACGACACTGCATTTTATATGAATTCCAAAAAGAAAGCAACGCATCTGTTGCATGTAAAAATTTATGTGCGGTATTTGGAAAAGATATTGTAAATGTTCGTACTTGTCAAAGATGATTTAGCAAATTTCGTTCTGGGGACCTGAGCCTCAAAGAAAGTGTTCGATCTGGACGACCATCCAAGATCATAATGATGTTTTGCGATCCATGTTGGAAAATAATCCACATTTAACAAGTCGAGAAATTGCAGAAGAGTTTGGCATTCATCATACAACTGTTGGAGATCACATTAAATCTCTTGGGTTTGTGTTAAAGCAAAGTGTTTGGGTTCCACATGAATTAACGGAAAAGAATTTGTCTGATCGTGTAAGAATATGTTCATCACATCTGATTAGACACAATGTGGAGCCGTTTTTGGACAGGCTGGTTACTGGAGATGAAAAGTGGATTCTTTACGAGAATATTAAAAGAAAAAAATCTTACTGCTAACCAGGAACATCATCAGCAACAGTTCCAAAACCAAGTATCCATCAACGAAAAGTACTGCTTTGTTTGTGGTGGGACAGGAAAGGTCCAGTGTATTACGAGTTGCTGAAACAGGGAAAAAACATCAACGCGGATCTGTACTGCAATCAGCTGGATAAATTGAATGCAGCTATCAAAAAAAAAAAAAAAAAAGGCCAGCATTAGCGTCCAGAAAAGGAATAGTGTTCCATCACGATAATGCTCACCCGCATACTGCAGTGGTGACACTACAAAAACTGAATGCGTTAGGATGGGAAATCCTTAGTCACCCCCCGTATTCACCTGACATTGCACCTTCTGATTATTACCTGTTCAGATCTCTGCAAAATTATCTAACGGGAAAAAAATTCAAGTCTTTTGAAAGTGTTTCTAAGGCAGTTGCTGACTATTTTAACTCCATGGATGACAACTTCTACAAAACAGGAATTTACAGGTTACCTGGAAGATGGCAACAGGTTGTAACAAATAACGGAGCATATATAATTGATTAATATTAAACACATATTTTTATAAATGAATTCAAATATTTTCTTTAAAATACGACAGAACTTTCCCTCCAACACAATAATTTCATTGTCCAAAAATCAAGAGGGGAAAATTAAAAGAATAATTTAATTTCTGATGGACACAATTATGAGAAGAACATAGCAAATGAAAATTAGTCATGAATCTACTGGTAACTATCACAATATTATTTCTTTAAAAATTAAGATTAAACTGTATCTGCATTCCAATAATAGACAATTCCAATTCTAAACATACGCAAGTTATTATGCAAGTAAGCAACGAAATATTCACTTTTATATTATCTTCTAAATACCCCACTTATCTCAAGTGGTTGACCTTTTTCTACTTGGTCAGCAGGAAGAGGACTGACATCTTGTGTTCAGCTTTAGCATTATATTTTTTACAAAATTTACAGTCATATAACACAGATTTTATAAAACGTCTAGCTTTTAAAATCCAAAATTCCCCTTTTATTTGCACTAAAATTTCATTTACAACACTGTGAAGTCCCTTTTCATGACAGTTAAAAATAATTAAATGAGAAAATAATTATTTGGTAATATTATAGGTTGAATTTCCGCTACATCTAACAACGATTTTACCAATCTACTTCAACTCTTAAAAAAACACTTTCATCAAGTATTGGATTTAACCCAAACAATTTGGAATTTTGATATAATGTTTTTTTTTTAATTTAACATCATTCAGTCTTGCCAAAAAAACTCACATTATGATAACTTAATCCAATAACACAAAGCATTACATATTTCATTTTTGGTAACAGAACAAATCACTCTATTTTGTAACTTTAAATTATTTATTAATTTAAATGTATATGACGTTACTCTTAGTTCACCTAAGTCTTTAGGTTGAATCTGCTGGTAATTTGAGTAAGAACTCTTTATCAACATTATTTGCTGTGCTACAATGCTCATTCATTTTGGGCCAATTTATTTCATTTTGATGTAGTCATGAAAGTCCATCCAACCACACTCGATCTAGTATTACAGGCTCACTCTGTGTAACACCACACAGGATTTTGTTGGCAGGATTGGCTGATCCAGGACAATGATATTACATACTCAGTGATTTCTGAGATGCAGAATTCATTACATACTCATTACATTCTGAGAATTTCATTACATACTCTCTGAATTTCTGAGATGCAGTTTGTGAGTTCATTATTCAGTGAAGCACAATGCAAGAATTGGTCCACAAATAAATCTTTGCTTCAGGAAGATGCAAAAGGATGATTGCTATCAGTCGTGCAGCAAACACTGTGCATGAGTTCAAATCCTGGCCACAAGCTCAAAGATATGAGTTCCAAAACCATGAGTTCAAAGATAATTTTTTGAGGGTAGCCACTCTACTCTTGGCTATCACTAAACTTGCTCCGGAACATTTAAAGCTGTGGAATTTCATGTATACTGCTGCTCCATAAGCACTTTCATATGAATCACAAAAACAATGTAGTTCCAACACTTCAGGCATAAAATACTTCATCAACATAAAAATACTAATGAGATATTTGGTAAATCACATAGTTGCCTATACCATTTTTCCAACTTCTCTTGCAATTATGGTAGGATAATTCCATCACAAGCAATGTCTTTACTGTAAATCTTGAAATAGAACTTTTGCTTGAATCACAAATGGAGCAAGAAACCCAACAGGATCGAAGATCTTTGAAGTTGTGTTCAAAACACCATGCTTTATTTAATCATGTAACACAATGAAATCTATAATGTCTTGACATTAAAACCGAAGAATTAGAAGAAGATTAGAATTAGAATTACACTTGGTCAGAGTCATTGATGCTTGTTTCAGTATAACATTAGCTTCATAATATATCTGTTACAGCTTCCTCCTTTGTATCAGATCCACAAATAAAGTCGTCAACATACATGAAGTTTTTTAACATTTCTATCATTCTGGGATAAATATTTTCAAATTTCAGATGATACTTAATGCAGTAGCTGAGCAAAAATGGGCTTGATTTTGCTCGAAAAATTACACGACACATGCAATAAACTTGAAGTCCTATCAATCCATAAAAATTTCATAATATTCTGATCTTCAGAAGCAACAAATTTGGAAAAACGCCTTCTGAATGTCTGATGTAAATGCAATCTGATGAAGTCAAAAATTTATTAATCTTTCAAAAGTTCAGGAAAAAGATTTGGTCCTTGTAGTAAATTACCATTTAGAGATTAATAATTTTTTCCTTTGAAAAAGCATCATAAACAATGCGAAGTTTTTGTCGAATAGTAATTTTCATAGACGACAGCATGATGGGGAACATAATAAGTTCATTTCCCACGTGGAATACCAGAATCGACTTCTTCCTTGACTTCTGACTTATTTCTTCCTTAAACTAACTGTTTATTACTGTTTTGTGTTGCATGTTAAATTTCAAGTTTGATTTAAATTGCCCAATCAAATTGAAAAATTGTCTTTCAGCATCCTTAAAATTGTCAATGAAAAATTACATTTTCATCTTCCCATAGAATTCCGACTTTATATCGATCATCTTTTCGAGTAATTGAGTTTTTGAATATTTGTAAAGCCTTTTCATTTTGTACTTGATCAGGAATATTTTTTATTCCATATAGATTCAATTTCACAAACAGATTTGATGCTTTATAAAAGCTTCTCTTCTATGCTTAGGTTTAAACACTATTTGCTTTTGAAAGTTCGAAGTACAAAATGTTCTTTGTATACACCAACTAAACCAGGATATTATCCCTACAAATTAAAACAGAAATCTTATGACTCATTATGTCACCCTGATGACAACTGTTGAAGCAATGCAGAATGTTTAGAGTTCAGGCTTTATTTCTACATCTGGCATCTGTATGTCTATATTTGTAAACACAAGAACACACAAGAAATTCACAACAGAAAGAGTCATTAGCCGCTACTTTCCAACTGCATGGCCACCTCGGTCACCTGATCTTACCCTATGCGACTTCTGGCTATGGGGTTACCTTAAGTCCAAGGTCTATCAAGGAGTGGTCCAGGACCTGGCTAAGTTGAAGGATAACATATCACGGACTGTACGGGAGATTCCTGCAGACATGTTACTTTCTGCTGTTGTGCATACTGTGCACAGAATGCAATATGGTCCACAACAACGGCAGCCACATTGAACCTCATTTGAATGCAAAATAAAAGGTAATTTCCGTATTGATTTGCATTTGTTAACACTCTATTTTCTATTACACAGCGCCAAATATTCCCCTAGCGGTGACTTTTGGAAATAATTTGTTTTTTCGCGGAATCCTTCATCCCCCATCTTTTAAGTCCCCCTGTTTAATCTTTCTACAAAATGTGGCGTTATTCTCGCAAATAGATCACGCTACAGAACACTGTCAGTTTAATTATGGCCATCCGGTATATATATACATAAAGCCGATTGTATATATACTTTAAAATATATATAAAGTTCTCGAATATTCTGTTTTCAAAAATAGATTTTGGAAAAAGAATTTTCAAAAAAAAAATTTTTTCAAAAATCATTGCATTCTTCCTTGTTATATAAAAGTTTTAGTTTGGCATTCTTGATTTTGTGTAGCTTCAATTTCAATCTCTCTGAAGTTTTTAATTTCAATTTCTGAATTTAAGCTTTTCAGTTTGTTGATTTTCAAAATTAACTGTTCATATAAATTCTTGATTATTTCAACTTTTTCCTTTTACAGAATATCATAAATTTTCAAGAACTCCTTCCATTTTCTGAAATGTTTAGTGTGTTGATTACCTGAATTCAATATATTCCCAGGAAGTACTCACTATGAAGAAAATATAGACATCTAATAAATCAGACTGGATGAATTTAATGTAATAAACAGACAGCATTTTTACTCACGAACACCAAAGATGAACTACTACATATGTACAAATATGACATCAGTACCTTTTTACAAATAAACTACTACCGCCATCTACTGGCAAGCTGAGAATACATAATCATTAGCACCATCTATTGGAAAGCTCAAAATATCAAAATATCAATCAAGCTAAAAAAAAAAAAAAAAAAAAAAAAAAAAAAAAAGTCACATTTAACAACACTTTCAACAACCAGATTTGTTTCTCAGTCTCTTAAGAACCACATATTAAAATGCTACATATGTGAAATGCAACACTGGAAAAACATTTTTCAAAAAGATGCTTTTAAAGTACATGGCAAGAAACTGAAAATTAATTCTGTAAACCAGTGTAATACTTTTTCTTACCTAATTTTGAAAATTTTTTGGCTTCTCACCTCAGAAAGAAAGGAGAAATACAAACAACAAACCAAGTTTTCTAGCAAGATGGAGCTTAACTCCTTTAAGAGCGACCAATGTTTCTGTTTGGGAAAATGACAGAGTAAGTGTTATGGCCTTTATTGCTTAATCAAGATAGTCTTTCACTTAGCCACTATCATTTTCATGAGCATTCACTTAATTAAAAAACAAGCTTAAGATTTGTGTTCCATTTCAATTGTTTTCATGTCACTATCTAACACAGCATTTCTTAAATTAAACAGGTCATAACCCCAAATGGGGTCACAAAGCGAAATTTTAGGGTTGCGAAAATTCAATCTCAGAAATAGTGGGAACTTTACCTCAATTTAAAGAAACTGCATTAATAAGATTTTTAAAGAAATAACATTCATTGGCATTAAAGAGATTTAACTTTAAAGAAATTACATTAATTGATATTAATGAGATTAATCACCATAAAATCGCCATCTCATGATGAATCACCATGAGATTAATCATCATATAATGTGCAAAAGGAATCTGTAGAATTATCAACTGACTCAAACTTGAGTTTTCACAAAAATCCTTGAATGAATTCTAGATCGGAGCTAGAACTAAATTTCCCACTATTTCTGAGATGGCATTCTGTGTTCTCTTATTCAGCACTACACATTTACGTGAAACAACTTTTTCAACTTTAATGCTAATTAAATCCAAATTCATTTGACACTGAAAAATGTTGAAAATGCTTTATGTCCAGCAGTGTCAAAGGTTGCAGCAAAAAACATACACATCTGTCTCATTAAAATTCTCTTTCATTAATTTTTGTTTACTTGAAGTAAATCTTAAAACTACTTTTTATATGCATATTGTTTACCCCAAAAATACATTATTTATGAGAAAATATTTATATATTTTGCATTTAATATCTGGGGTTATGAAAAAAAATCTCCATCATAAAAAGGGATCACAATTACAAAAAATTCAGATGTGCTGATCTAACAGAATAATCATGCATAAATTTTAGCTTCCCATATAGCACAGAAAATTTTTTAAATAAAAAAAAAAAAATTGAAATGGTTGATATTTTAATGATCACCAAAACAGGCTCTTTTAAAGTTTAATATGATTTATCACTAGAGATTATCAACAGATATGGTCCAGGCAAAAGAGCAAAACATTTTAGAATGCATTTTAGACTAACATGGGAACATTACATACCATCTGCATATTTGAGAAATGGGGAAAAAAATACATAACATAATTATACAACATTATTTGGTAATCATGAAGTATGCAGTCTACCTTCTTTAGTTAGCCACTTATTTTTTAGATGGTGGCACTAAAATTGGTTTCTGTTTTAATTTCTTTTTCTCACCATTTAATCGCACATTCGAATTTAAAAATAGCATTTTAATGGTGCCATCTAAGATGTAAATAACAAGCTAAAAGCAGCAAATTACTACTATATGATTACTAAATATTAATACTTTTGATTAGATACATCACGAATGAAATGCATTTTTATTTTAATCAATCCAATTCAAATGTAAATAATAATAATAAATAAATAACAATAATATTCTTTAAAAGTGCATCTGTTCTCTTTAAATAGCTCAGTTTATTAATACAAAACAGATAATTTCAATATGAAAGATAAATATCTTACATTTTACCGAATGGCAACAGATTCGAATGAAAGCAGAAACAATGCATTGACAATGGACATCATTTAAAGTGAATCAATGCCAACTCCTGTTTTGAGACTAATAGTCCTTTTAAGCTAAAAGTAGAGTACTTATATATTAACACAAGAACCTTAGGAGAAGTTGACAAATTTTAGAATGTGTCAAACTCTAGCAACCATACTCATAATGATACTTCATAAAACAACATCACCATTTCAGTCAAGCAACTTTAGTTTGCAATATCACCATTTTCATGTGCATTCTTTATGCTATATTCCAAGTTACAGAGGTTTTTATACACATATCATGATATTTTTTGCCTTAAACTCAATTTTAAAATGTGCTTGTGGAATTTTCAAGCAATGAAAGAACTAGAAGAATACAGTATTTTGCCACAAAATCATTACAGGGAATACTGATGAAGTGAGTTTGGTAGAGAGCTGGTGTGTAGTGCTGAGTTTTTGAAATCGTCTGATATTTTTTAAGCAAAAACAGATCAGTGCGTATATAGCGAAAATAGTTGCAAAAAAAATTAGAGAAGGTTTTCACAAAAAACGCATTTCATTTTTAATGCATCATGTAATCCTTATTTAATATCTGTATTTAAAATAGCTATAATGTGTTTTATGATAAATATCAATAAATCAGCAATCAATTTTAAAAAAAGAGTCATGAAAATCACCAACTTGCACTGATAACTAACTTCTACATTTTCATCTGTAAAAAACTGCCAAACTGCATTGAATCATTTCTTTTTCTCTCCGTTTTATTGCACGCTTGAATTTTAAATAGTGGTATACAGGCACCATCTAAGAAATAAATAACTAAAAGTGGTAGATCACATACTACATGATTACCAAGATTTTAATCTACTACTTTCTTTATTTAAATCCTCTCCTTGGAAATAGAATATCCCACATATTTTCCCACTTTTAATTTTCTAAAAAGGAAATTAGCAAAAAGGAAAAAGAGAAAAAAAAAGTGGGGAGAATATGATTGTAAGGATGATATTTATAATAACTAAATGTATAAGCAAAATACTTTTAATAACCCTCTTGCAAAACAACAACTGATATTTGAAATTAATGAACATACCTGTATCACCAGCAAATAGAATTTCATCAGTTTTTAGGAGCCTTGAAGCTTCCAAATCTTGTTCTGGAATTTCTGATAATATAGTAGAAATTTTCCAGATACGCACATGGTAATCTTGAGAGGCAGAAGTCAGCATCGCAGCATTGGTATCTTTTAAAATAATGCATGAAACGAAAATGAAATTTTCAAAAACTAAACACAAAAGTTTTTCAACAAACTAAAAATAATAATTATTATATACATAAAATATTTTTATAGAAGTAGAATTTGTAATTTAAGATAATTGATAAAACTGATTTTATTTGCATCTAAAATAATCTTTAATCTGCATTACAATATCTGCATTACAAATCAATCACATCATAACCAAAATCTTGAAAACATATTTTTCAAATTATATTAATGTATCTAATTAAATATACAGTAGTATATACCAACAAATAGTGTATATATTTTATAACAATGTACATGTGTAATTTTAATATACAGTAGTATATACCAACAAATAGTGTATATATTTTATAACAATGTACATGTGTAATTTTAATATACAGTAGTATATACCAATAAAAATACAGTAAAAGCCCAACTATCCCACATTCAACTAACCAGAAAGCTCAAGTAACTGAAATATTTTTTAAATTTAGCACTTTGACTGCCATGTGTACCATTGATGATTCCCAGCAGCCTTACTTTTTTTCAGAGATTTTTGCATCAAATGCGATTTTTATGTTTTGTATTATTGAATTCATCGGTGATTCACAAACACACAGATTTACACAATTAAAACCATTTCTAAGGCTTTAAAAAATTGCTCCGCATTCTTAAAAATTACTCCGCATATTCTGGCTTCTGGAACTTTTTTTCATAATGTTTCAAAATGTTTACATTACTAAAATACATTCACTAAGTAATTCTTTTTAGGTTACATGTAGTACGATTTGTCTAATTTTACTAATTTTTATTATCAAGATAATAAAAATTATCTTGATAACCTGTATTAACTCCTGTATCTTGATAACCTGTATTAACTCCTGTATTAATTTACAATGAACTAATTTGTATTCTATTTATTATTATTTATTTATTTGTTAAATATTCATAGAAGTATATTCAGATTAGGTACTAAACTTATTTTTAGGCTAAATGAAACAAAAAAATACTAGAATTAAAAAATGGCCCGACAAAATATTTTTTATCCAATTTTGCTGTGGCAGTCAGTGTTAGAAATAATGATTACCAGAATAATTTAGTAAATGAGAGATTTTAAATATTATCATAGAGCTTGTAACACTATTAACATATACACATTATCCAAACAGAATGATTTAGTGCTGGTAATAGACACACATGACATCACAACACAATAAGTTCATTTTGGTTTAATATAAATTTGATTAATTCTTGATGAGGGAAGAAAACTTTGCATCTAAAGAATGGCATCTTCCTCGTTATTTTCCATTCATGTCATCCACTCTTAATTCATACAAATACAATAAAATTAAATTAGGTTTTTAATTGATTTCATGCATTTAATATTCTATTTATCTTTTTTAATATTTAATAATTTTCATTGGTTTTAGTTTATGAACAAAGGGTCCAAAGTATGATTGTAAAGTTTAAACCAGCAATCTTCTCTAACCCAGGAACGAATTAACTAATTTAAACATGTAATTTAAATTGTTATGGAGAAAACTGTTTCAGTTTACAAATGGCCTTCAGGAATGAATTAAATTTATGAACTAAGGTTACATGGTATTGTACTCAATAAATACTGATCAAATAATGCCTAAAGTTTGAAGTCTTACTGATTAATTATTTATGTGCATAAAATCCAAATATAATGCAAAATTTAAAAAGGGCAGAATGAAAAAAAAAATGTAGAAAACAGCTAAGGGTTAAACAGATCTGCATTACACGAGCCTCCGTCTCAAGCCATGTTGATTATTGAAATTCTGCTTTATTTTTGTTTGGCATTAAAAATAAATATAAAAATCTTTTCAATGTTAAAAAAAAATGTTGAACACACACACACATAAAACAATGCATTAAATATTTTGTTCACTTAAAGTTTTTTCCACTGAATAGCATAAGTATAATAAAATATCTAATGAAATCAGATATCATACCATTAGGGTCTTTTGCAATATCTAAACTCTGGATCCAGTCCGCATGACCATCTAATTTAGCAGCTGCTGTGAACTGCCCAAGATTATTCTGGACAAAGATGTGAATTTTGGCATCATCAGCACCCACTAACATAATCAAGTCTGAAATATTAATGATAATTTTCATAATACATTTTTCAAAAATTTAATACATGCATTGTGTTTGTAATTAAAGCTACAGTCTATTCCCAGATAACTGGGAAAAAAGATCTAATGTTAACTGAAAAATTCACAGTTGCTACAAAGGCAGTTAAAATGACACAGAGAAAAGGAATAAACCTTCTCTACTAAGAATATATCTGCTAAGAATCTCTACTAAGAATATATATTCTATAATGAAGAATATATCTGCATGTATATTTATATATTCCTTGCATTCTGGAAAAATAGCAGCACCTAGAGCCACATGTTTTGAACACACATTATCCTCCACTTGAAGATGTGCACCTCAAAGTCCAAATTTTGAATTTCAAATTTGATTTTGATTCATTTTTATATTCTCCGTGAATTTAAGGAACTCCTCATTAAAAACTCAGCAATTCAAAAACTTTGTGTTGTCATTCTGCAGAGCATAAGATATTTATGTTTTGAATTTAATCAGAAAACTTGGCAATATAAAAAGAAGTGTGCTGCCATTTTATAAAATGCAGTATACAGTTCAAAGTCCGAAATCCAGACTCATCGGGACTTCGGCTATTCCGGATTTGGAATTTTTCCGGATCAGTTTAAATCTAGTAAGATGGCATGTAGAAATTATAAAATTAAAAATATGAAATCGTGATTTATGAAATAATGAAGCATTTATGATCTAAACAGTATCAAAATTTATAAAAAAAGCTTAATATTTATTTGTTTACCTTATTAAACATTTCTTTCAATGTAAGTTGTTTTAAGTTGCTTCGCTTTTTGTGCTAATACTTTCTCTTTAATTCTCCAGATAGACATCTCTTGTTGAGTTACATTATTGAAGTCCTGTAACTGCTGTTTTGAGAATTCCGAATAACTTGTCAATCGAAATTTTCTGGTTTTCAGTAACTTTTCTGTCATTTTCTTCACTACCGGTAGTGGTATTTTCTGGATCTAAAACCCTACTACAGATTTCGCCATTCATGATATAAAAACTTCTTTTACCTTCATTTATTACTGTTTCTCCACATTTCTTTACAAAAATCCGTTAATTGGAAAATTTGACCGTTGTTTTGCGATATCCAAAAACCTTAAAAATTAGCGGCTATCATCATCAAATTTAGCTATCCTTCACTATACATATTTGGCTATGTATCATGAGCTTGGTGACTAACGACAAGTTGTTCTGTTAAATTTTATCTTGCTTCTATCACGCACCGAGACAATTAAGCCTGAATTGTATTAGTTTAGTTATTTATTATACTTATGTCTATTTCTTGCCCATGCTTAAGACTTATCAGAGTTCTGAATAAATAAATTCTCACATATACTAAAGGCTTATTGAGGGCCAGAGCTGGATATCTTACCGCCTGATGCAGTCTCTGTGGATCCTAAATTATCGACCCAGTGCAGCCACACAAGCCCTGGCACTGGTTCTGGGTTAATGTGAATATCAAATCAGTTACTCTTGGTTCAAATAGCACTAAATGTAATCTTTGAATCTATGAATATCATTAGCAAAATCTATTTTTAGCATACGCAAAGAAATTTTTTGTAAATTTTTCCTCGTCAACATTTTTAGCCCATTTAACTTAAGGGGTATCAGAAACCCCTATACCGACAATGTTAAATTGGCCATTTTCGATGTACTTTTCCTCAAAATCTGCTGTAGATACACGCTTGAAATTTTTTGCGTAATTAAAGTATACCTATCTGATTATACTGAAATGAGATTTTGAAACATTTTGAATTTTAGAGTAATTTACAGAATATTTTGTTAGGCATAGTAAAATTTAGCACTTTTCTCACACAAAAAACTTTAAAAATTTTTTTCAGTTTATACAAAAAGTTATCACAAAAGCTCATTTCAGTAAATATTAGGAACTTAATAATAAGCCATAAAAATTTTAGATACCTGTAAGCATAGTTTCCTGAGAAAAGGTACATCGAATAGAAAAAAATAATGTTTGAGAAAAACGCGTTTTTATGTAAAAATCCTCATTGATCAAAGCAGCGATCACATATAAAACTAGATTTTTACAGTTCTAATTTCATAGAGATTAAAGAATGTGTTTTTAGAAGATAAAGTGTTATAGAATTTGAAAATGCAAAATCCAAAATCCAATTTTTTGAAGATTTGGGGTTCCAACACCCTTAATTCGTAATCATCGCCAAGTGTAATGTCAACATAAAAGGTTACCACACTCCTTTATTATTCAATTACTAGCATAAAAAAATTGTTAAGGCATTGCTACATGAGACAATGCTCAATTTGTCATGTCATCACATGCGGTGATGAAAGGAAAGTATAATAAATAATGATTTGCCAGGTTGGCATCAGATCAACGACGTATCTGTGTGTAATGTTTCGATTTGAGATGTATGCCAAGCAGATATGCGCAGCGGAGCCAAATTACTGATCGTACAAATTTAGGCTAAAATGATTGTTTCTTCAATAACAAAGTATTTTATTTAGTGTCGAAGTGAAATTAAGAATTGGGACTCTCCAGATGTTTTAATATGCACAGAGGGGGGAATCAAATGCGCATGTGTAAAGCCTATCAGAAAATGTTGGCAGTGGTTTTGAGGTCCGGATTTCAGATCATTCCGTAAAGGACGTCTGGATTTCTTACTTTGCACTGTATTTGCCTTTCCAATTTAACTGCATTATGGAAAAGTGCCAGTACATAGAGGCACCAAATTATGAACATACATAATGTTTCATTCAAACATGTTCACTTAGAGACTCAAATTTTAAATTTCAAATTTATTCTTTTATTTGTTTCATATTTTGTGTGAATTTATGGAACTTTTGCTTAGACCTAGTGATATAAAAGCTTTGTGTAGCCACTAGATAAATCAAAAATCTTTCAATTTAATTAAACAAGTCAGTGATATAATAGTCTGTTGCCACTTGGCAAAACACAAAATTTTTGTCTTTCAAATTCAATCAATAAACTCTGTGATCTGAAAGAAATGTGCTGTCACTGCCTAAATTTAAATATTTTTATTATCCATGCAGTAGTGCTGTTCAACAAAATATGAGATAATACTTAATTTTCTTTCAAATTTATTCTGTTATTAATTAACAAACTAAGTAATTTAAAAGTGATAAATGCAGATTCATTTCAGTTATTATTAATTACTAAATAGACTCATGAAATTACATTAGTTAGAAAAATATGTAATGATTTTAAATCATTACATATTTTTGTTCTTTTTTAAAATAATCATTTTAGGCAGCTGGCCACAGAAGCAGCTAGTATTATAAATAACAAAATATATAAATAAATAAAAATACTATTAATGATTGATCTTATTTTCAAGCAACTGAATATGAAGAATGTGCTTGTTTGGTTATGTAAATTAAACAGATACTCAAAACGAAAAGAAGATACTATAAATAGTGAAAGAATATCAGCAGATATGAAGAAACCACCTTCTAAATGGCATAACAAAACAATATTTGCAAGTGAAAACTTGAAAATTCATTGATTTCTGTTGTTCAGAGGCCAATATTTAGAGTAAAAAAGCCACCGTACGACAACACACTTTATTTACACGAATAATGAATAAAAGGATCACACAGGAAATCACACTGATCATCACACAGCACATATCATCTCACCATCTGCCTACACTCGAAGCTCGAAAGACGGATGTGTCGGTAGAAGAGCCAGTTGCGCCATAATAATTAATACGCATGCACATAAGAAAAAAAGGTTCGCTTGCCTCTACCCAACACACCCCTCCTGCGAGCAACATTTTTTCAATACAAAAATGAATATAAACAATATAAACACATTACATAAGAAATAAGGAAATTTTTTTATAATTTTAATTATTTAAATTTTATTAATTTTTCTTCACTGACACTTTAGTACGAAAATCTGCAATCATATTATCAGTTTGTGAATATTTCAACTTAATGACATTGTCCTTTGTTAAATCCTCATAAAAGGAAACGTAAGTTCAGTGTCTGGATTTCGTAGAAGATCTTGCACAGTTGATCCACTGGATGGCAGCTGACTGTCTGTATTCAAGACCACTGCACCATTCAAAAATTGTTTACATTTTAATTCTGATAATAAATGTCAGTCAATAATATCCTTACAAATTTCAGAAATAGAAATAATTCTGCTTCACAAGTAGACAGACTAACACTTCTCTGCTTACGACATTTCAAGAAATCAATGAATCACCTAGTAAAATAGTACACCAGAAATGGACTTACCATTTTCTGCATTTTTCCCAGCTAGCATCAGCATATGCTTTGAAACTCAAAATCATGCTATGGAAAAGTTTTTTTTTTATTTTTGTACCTTTTAAATACCTTAATACCCTTTTGGCAAAAGATAATGTTTTTTTTTGGGGGGGGTACAATGATTAATTGTGACAAATAAGAAATGATATATAGGACAGGTTCTATTCGCTAAATATAAAAGTTCCCCAATTAATTCCTGATACAAAATTGCATCAATTTTTTTCATTTTGTACATGAAAAACCTTTATCTGCCCCTTTAACGATTGGCATTTTTTTCTGCTTTACAATTTTTCCAGATTGTGTTTAGTCAATAAAGATTCAATATATTCTGTTTGAGACAAACATATACCATTTTCAAGTTTTTCTATTGCATTCCTAAAAATTTTGAATTAGTATTTTTCATGTAACTCAAATATATTTTTTATTTAGAAACAATATTTTCAAGCATTTCTTTATTGTTACAGAATACAGCTAAATCATCAACATACAAACACAATATAAAATGTTTTTGGTATCATTATAAATGAATATACAATTATCAGATGCTAACTGTACCAGTCCAAGTTTTTCTAATTCAGTTTTTATTTTCATATACCAATTTCTACCGATTGAGAAACCCATAAATACTTTTCTTCAATTACATACTTTCCTCCAATCAGTTTTTCATAACCAGGTGGAGGAGTCATATACACATCCTCGTTTAAGTCACTGTACAAGTATGCTGTTTTTTACATCATAAAATTAACAGTCAAGTTTAATTTACTGAAAGTGCAAGCAATAATCTAAAACATTCAATGTTAACTAATGGTGATATGATTCGGTATAATCCTTATTTTTTATTTGATTAAACCCATGGCTACTAATCGTGCTTTATATTTTACTTCCCCAGAGTTCCTTCTTCAAAGTATACACCCACTTACTTTTTACTAATTTTGTTTTTTCAGCCTCTCTACTATTTCCCACACTTCGTGTTTATGTAATGAATCTAATTCATTTTCCATTGCGGATTTCCAGTCATACCAATTAGAACTTTGTTTTGCTTCTGAAAAATCATTCGGAACATTACTGATTATACTTGACGCTAGTTGTTTTGATTTGAGCCTCTCCGATCTTCCTAATGGTATTTCATTTCCATATTTATTACTTTTTTCATAGCTATCAGATGTTTGGACTTTATTCCCCCTGTCATCAGCCCCGCTACAACAGCTCATGTCAGCGATTTCGAAATTCGATGAGTCACCATATTCCCTTGCTTGAGTGTTTTCCGTAACAACCAATTCGAGGTGTGGTTTTTGATCTACTTCGTTTCCCTTTACTTTTAATTCTTCAATATCCCAAGTTTTCTAAGCTTTATTTCCCCTATATATTACTACCCTTTAAAGATTTGTTAATTTAACTGATCGTTCTTCAATTATTTATTACTTGCTATATCATAGATACGATATCCTTTTCTTTCTTGTCTAGCATATCTTAACATTATCCCTCTTTTCCTGGTATGTCAAATTTGTTTCGCATTACTTTCGGAATGTGAAAGTATGCCACACATCCAAACTTTTTAGATAGTTTAATTTGGTTTTTTACCAGTCCAAATTTCTAAAGGAATTTTTTCTTTTCCTTTCCGGGTGTTTAAATTTGATACTTGAGTACTAAAATTAAATTGCTGCTTCTGCCCAGAATTTTACCGGAAGCTCACTTTCATGTAGTAATGTCCTAGCTCTTTCTAAAGAACTCTGTTTGCCCGTTCAGCTTTCCCATTACTCTCACTGTTATATGGAATGTTTTTTTCATGAAAAATACCTGAATTAAGCAAGATAATTATCTAATTGTTTGATTACAAATTCTAAACCACTGTCTGTTCTCAACGTTTAACTCTTTCACCAGTTAAATTTTCATACTTAGCTTTAAATTTACAAAATGCGTCAAACACTTCACTTTTACTTTTAAGAAAATAAGTAAAATACATTCCAGAAAAATCATCCACAAGATAATAAAATATTTAGACCACCAATTGATTTCATTTGAAAGGGCCACCATATCCGAATGAATTAATTCTAAAATTTCTGAACTCTGATTAATGTCATATCTGGATGACTTTTTCTAGTTATTTTACTTATGTCACAAGTTTCACACTTAAAATAACTTACATCATTAATATCAATGTATTCTTTCATTTTAAGCATATATTTTGGATTTAAATGGCACAATCTACTATGCCAAAGTTCAAATTATTACCAGACAATCATTAGCAATGCAAGATTCAGAATTATAATATGGTTTAATTAACTTCAAGCCTACCGTTATTCTTAAATGCTTTAAAGTAATTCATTACACCTACTAAAACTAATACGATTATTCCTTATTCAATTTTACATCCTTTATCCATTAGGCAGTGAGTGACATAATTATTTCTTAATCAGGAAATAAACTAACATTACTAACAGTTAAATTAATAAAACTAGAATTCTTTGTATTTATAGTTTTTGCTTTAACAGTACCAATACCTTCTGAATATATTTTTGAATGTTTACCTGCCTGGTAAATCTCCCTCACCTCTGGTGTAATATTCTGAAACCAAAAGAAGTCTTTTACCATGTGTCCAGTTACACCACTATCCAGCAACCAAATTTTATCACATTCATCATTTTTTCCACGCATAGGTTGAAGAGCAAAATCATTTTCTCTTTCATCAGAACGAGATGAAACGTTCACACTTGTAGGTTGTGACTTCTTTCTTTTCCTTGTACCTCTGGATAACTCACTTTTGGATTCTTGTTCTGTAATAGCAGTCCTTCGCGATGTGACCAGGCCGTCGGCAAATGTAACAAATTCTTGGCTTATAGTTTTTATTATTTCTTGATATGAACGCCTCTGTGTTGGTTCCATCAGGTCGTTTCCCGTTCATTGAATTGTGAACGGACTCTTCCTCATGGAGTATTTCGAGTACTTCATCAATTGTTTTTCACGCTGAGTTTTTACAACTTCCCTAATTCGAGAGAATTTTCTATGAAGTCCATGGACTGTGTAAAACACCAGTTCCCGAGAAGATACATCTAGGCCTAGCGAGTGGCACTTAGTTGCTATTCCTCTCGCTCTTGCGATATAATCATTAGCCGACTCATGCAACATCATTTCTAAATTTTTTAGCTCATTACCAGCATCTATTTTTCGATCTTCGGCTTGTCCCATAAATGTTGACTTTATTTTTTCCCAAAGAATTTTTGCATTCTCTTCTGTGGAGAAATGCAGCGCCTGTTGATCCGATAGTGAAAGTTTTATATATGCTACGGCGTCAGCCTTTTTTCATTCCACAATCTTTCATCTTTCTCGTCTAAATTTTCTGGTTTTACTGTCGAAATTACCGAGTCAAGTCTTTTCAGTGATAAGGCAGCTTTAATTTTCAATGCCCAAATAAAATAGTTCTCTCCAGTTAATTCGGGAACGTTCCACTTCTCCATTTTTGGCTTCCACTAAGACAGTTTCGGTTTCGACTTAATATTTTATATCCAATTCTTCTTGACAAAACCGCGCAGCTGCTACCATTTGTTGTTCAGAGGCCAATATTTAGAGTAAAAAAGCCATCGTAGGGACAACACACTTTATTTACACGAATAATGAATAAAAGGATCACACAGGAAATCATACTGACCATCACACAACACATATCATCTCACCATCTGCCTACGCTCGAAGCTCGAAAGACGGATGTGTCGGTAGAAGAGACAGTTGCGCCATAATAATTAATATGCATGCGCATAAGAAAAAAACTTTCACTCGCCTCTACCCAACAATTTCAAACTACCAGAAAAAAAAAAAAAAAAAAGCCAGTTAACCCTTTTTATTTTTATAGAAAAATTTTCTTTTTCTAATATCAATGATCTTCTTTTGTGCATGACTTGATAATGTTTATACATTCCAGATTATATATAATTAAATTATCTGCTGTCATGGATAAAATCATTATCTAAATACTATGACATCATCTGCTATCCCATGAATTTTTCTTTCTCCTCTTATATTTTCCATAGAAAGTTTTGATTTTCACTCAAAGTAATTTTTCCATCATTTGATAATAAACAAATTTAACATATTTTAGCCATCGTCTGGTTAATATGTGAACCAGTTAATCAAAAGCTGACTGCACACTGTTCAGCAGACATATATATGACAAATATAATATGACAAATTAGTACCAATACTTACCACTGGCATTTTTTAATACAGCAAATTTCACATCAAGACCAAAACCATTATTGAATGAAATGGTCTGCGTACATGTGACTAGGTGGAAGAGGAAAGAAAAAAAGGTTAAAATTAATGCAAGTGAAAATTAATACTAATAAAATGAGTAAATATTTTTTAATTAAATTTTTAGTATCAAAATATCAAATATTGCAATTTACATGTATCAATATTCATTCATTACTTAATTAAAATTTAAAAAATTATCAATTTAAAAAATACAGTGAAATCTCTTATGCAGCCACTTTCAACAGACGATCACCTCTAAAAGCATAAGAATACTAGTTGCCAAGTGGACAATGCCAGTTAGCACTAGTAGCTCTATCTGGGTCCAAAACCTGGTGAATGAACTGGATGCATAAGTGTTTTCACAGTTTTCAACTCTTATTTGGGGAAGGGTAAATGCTGCTTTCTTTTTTCAATTACCCTAAGAAAGTTTCAATGAAGGTTTTACTCCCTTAAAGCAGGTAGACTTTGCATGCTTTGCTATAATAAAAAAAAATTCAATCTTAAAAATTACCAGTATTTCAACAGGATGTTCTGACAAAAGTGTCATATTTAATATGCTGAAAGAATACTTTATTCTTAGAAAACAAAATATTTTTACATACTTATAACAGGTAAATGTTCTCATCTAAGAATATCAAGTTTGATATGATTTGGTAACACTAGCATTTTATCACTGTCAGTTCATTTTCCAGCTGTATTGCAGCTTAGTTGACATGGAATGTCACACAAAGGAACAACGAATTTTGATTGTGAAAACTCATAGCAAGGATGGTGAGTGTTATGTACACACCGTTAGGAAGCTTCATGTAATCTTTGAATGTGAAACTGCCCTAATGAAACAACAGTTCACAGATTAATAAAGAAATATGAGGACACAGAATCACAACACCCTCAATCCAGTTGGTTTGTTGAAAGCACTGCTATTTTGTGTGACACTGTTACTGCAAGCCCCAAAGAATTTGAACTTAAAGAGGAAATTGAACATATCATTAGCCACTTTATAGATAGATAAGTGAAAAAGAGATTATAAATGTCATCGAGATAGTACAGTTTGGCATAAGAAGTTGTAGAGGACATACACCATACATATTTTAAATTCTTAAATCCAAACATTACCTGTTGTAAGCAAATGAAAATATTTTCTGTTTTCTGAAAATAAAGTATTTTATTAGATGTATTAAATCTAGCAATTTGCTGACACATTCTAAATAAATATAAATAAACAAGATATTGAACATTACCTATCAAAGACAACTACCTCCATAAAAGACTAAAATAACTTGAAAACACAAGAGGTCATCCAAGGAAAATTTACAAAAATACTGAGGATTTGTGAAAAAACATTTCTATGAAAGTATAAAAATATATGAAATGCCAGTACTGGAGACTAATGGAAAGATTATCTGAAAGTATAATAATGATAATTCCGAGCTGTAAGAAGAAAATTCTGTTACGTTTTGAGGAACTCAAATATGACCCAGACAAATGGAAGGTTGAAAAGAAAAGAACAGCTAGATATTTGCAAAGCATGTTTTCATTCACAGTATTAACACATGCTATATGAATCTTTCTTAGCATTTCAGAAGCTACTTTTTCTGATTTTCCAAAAAGGTGCTTGTATGAGAGCATATTCATCCTCCAACCACCATGTTGACAGGAGAGTCTAACTTTGAATTATAATGGCATGTACACACACCTACATGTAACAGACATTGTTCTCCTTATTATTTTCAAAGGTTGTTCAAAATCTGGGAACTTGATTTTTGACCAGACTCTGTCATAGACCCTATACATGGCTAACAAAACTAAGCTCCTTCTGCATTATCGTAGCAAGTGATGTTTGGAATACAGAAAGCTATTTACTGAGGCTCAAGAAAAACTATATGACAGGAGAAAAAAAAAAAAAAAAAAAAAAACAGTCAAGGTTATATCTCAATGCCCTAGTAAGACAATGCTACATTTACCTGAATGCTCTTTCTGCCGCAGTTCTGAAATCTAAAATATGGACGCATGATTTAAGTAAGGAAATGTCTATAATGCATTTCACGAAAATTTGAAATGTATTCATACAACCACAATTCAACATGACATTTTAAAGTTCTTCAAGTAGCAATATTGATAATTGGTGGAATAAATTTTTTGAATATTAAATGCATAAAATATTTCATAATATGCACTGTTACTTTCGTGGTTAGAAGACCAGACAAATGAAATAATTACAATGATCCAAAGTTTAAAAATAACTTTTTTTTTTTTTTTTTTTAAATGTGGTAAAAATTTGAGAAATAACGCTTGTTTAACTGAATATGGTGAAACACTTTAAGACTATCTGCCCAAGGAAAGAAGCACTTTTGCGGAGGTCCACATGTTTAAATTTTGGAAGCCATTATATATAAAAGGCTATGCAATATTTATTTAGCACTTGTATTCAAAATTTAAAAAACAAATCTTTTCTCATGTTTACCAGTACTATGTTGTCGAGTCCATAATTTAAGAGATGAATCCATCGAAACTGTTGCTATCAATAAATCACTATTTGCACACTCAGAAAGATATATTCCTGTAGCATTTCTTACCACATTGCTATGTCCAGTCAAAGATGATGACAAAGAAAACTGCATAAGAAAAAAAGCAGTTATGTAATTTCATATTTATAAAATTAAAATATGAAAAGCAAGAATTTGTTAAAGTAATAATATTTTAAAACTCATTTCTCATTCAGAAAAACATTTATTACCTCCTACATAACATTTTATATTATTACTCTAAATCTGTGCATTACAAAAATAAATAAAAATCTTTAATATATATGTGCTCAAATGAAAGTGGGTCAGTGGTTCTGATGGCATAGTTCCACAAGCTTAAAATTTTTGGATTTCTGGGTAGATGTGTATGCAAGAAGAAATTCGGTTTAAAGCAGATACAAGAACTGTGTCACTTAGTGACAAGTAATAGCATTCCATGGATTCATAAAAAGTAATATCATTCCATGGATTCTCTAAACAGGCTTAGCATGCAGTAATCCAGTTTTTGTTGGACGATGGGATTAATGGAATTGATGTTTAGATCAAATAATGGATGTGCATAGAACTGGGTGTATGTTACATAATGCAGTTTTCTGATGATGTGGTGATTTTAATCGTGGACATGTGAATATAGATGACATGCTACAGCCACACATTTAATCATCACTGAAGAATCAATAGCTGTCATATACTCCTTTGAGAAAAACTGTCAAATAATCCAGAAGAATATAGACATGTCACACAAGAGATTCATACAGATAACTCTGAGGAGACTAACCAGACATCCCACTTGGACAGAATTTTGATAGTTTGATGATGCAGTCCTTGCATTCCAGCCAGTTTATCATTCTCTCCTAAATATTTGATATAATTTTTAAAATGCCAATTATACAAGAAGTACAAAAAGTAAAAATAGTGCAACTTTGGGAAAATGATGATTTGACAATTAAAATATCCCCTCTCTTACACTCACAGTTGTCAATCTACATATTTTCTATGAAGTTCTAAGCATTTTTAATGTTGTCTAGATGTCTTTCCCTAAAATAGTGGTAGATGTCTTTCTTACTTTGAGTTGTGGGAAAATAGTTTTGGTGAAGCAGAATCTTTAATTTTGCCAAAATACAGTGAATTAATATTGCCTGAAATTGAAGTTTCAGGTGAAAAATTAATGAAATTGTCCCAAATTATACAATAAACATGGATCAACTTTTTGATGTAGTAGTGATTACAAAAGTTCTTTTGGTAAGCTAATTATCAAATTTGGAAAAATAAACATTGTGAAGAAAAATGGATACAAGTTTTCAATCATTTCAAAGAAAAAAAATTCAATGCCCAGTCTTTCTCAAATAATGGAATACATTTGCAGTACATCAGCACCTGTCGAAAGAATATTCTCAATAATAAAGAAAGAGGTAGAACAGCTGAACAACAAAAGCTTCAACACGCTGCAAAATTAATAGAGAATTACAAATTGCAGTGCATATTTCAATGCCATTAAAAAGAATAATGAATTTTTAAGGAAAGTTCATACTGGTGATGATTATTAATAACTTCTTAATAATAAGATATGGTATACTGTATGTCTGCTTCCAGCACCAGTTTTGTTCACCCACAGAAAGGAAAAATCTCCCTTTCCTTACAGTTTGTGACAAAATCTGGTATGCAGATATACACACTCTTTTACAAAAAAAATCGAAGCACCAAGAACTTTTACAACCGCGATGAAATTTGGTATGCAAAACCATCTTGACCGAACATGCAAATGACCAAAGTTCACAGGAATTGCGATCATAACGTGCATTTCTAGTGCGCTATTCGCAAAGTATAAAACCAGTAACAAAGGCATAAAATTTATCTTTTTTGTTGCTGCCATAGAAATTCCGTAAAGAAGCAACTAAAGATGCCATTAAAATGATATCAAAGACATTACAGACAACTGTACGACTTTGAACAAGAATGCATTGTAGGTTGAGTGAAGCTGGGTGCTCATACCGAGCAATGGGCCGTCACCTGCAGCGTACAGACACTGCTGTGCAAAGATATTGGTAGCAATGGTTGCTAAAAGGAAATTGCCGATGAAATGAAGGCTCTGGAAGGCCAAGGAGCACAAATGTGAGGTAAGATAGAATGACTGTTCGCCAGGCCTGAACTGCCCCAACAATATCATTGTCGACTATTCAACGCCCAACACACGTCTATACCTTCTGTGATACAGTCCACCATCACACGGCGCTTATCTGAGGCGGGGTTACGCTCACAGAGGCCTTTAAGAAGTTTGTCTTTGACCCCACAACATCGGCGGAGTCGTCTGGAGTGATGTCACAGCGGATCATCATGGCAGCCATCAGACTGGCATCGTATAGTGTTCTCGCTTAACTCTTGAAGCAGATGACCACCATATTCGTGTCTGCAGAGGACGGGGCCAGCGGTTAAAATCAGCCTTTGTCTTACAAAGGCATACAGCCATAACCGATCATGTGATGGTGTGGGGCGATATTTCTTATGACAGAAGGTCATCTTTAGTCATCCTCTATAAATCTTTAACACCTCAACGATATGTTGATACCATCCTGCAGCCAGTTGCATTACTCTTCATGGCACGTCATCCTGGGGGCATTTTCAAACAAGATAATGCCAATCCACATATCCACACATCTCTGGATAGTCTCCATGCGGTTGATACTCTTCCTTGGCCAACAAGATCACCAGACCTTTCACCAATTGATCAATGTCTGAGACATAGTAGGCCGCCAAATTCAGGCACCACAAAATATCGCAGATCTGGAGCAACAACTGATGAATGCCTGGCAGATTGCGTTGTTCCTTAATCTTTGAATTGATTCCAGCTTATTATTTTTTGCAGACTGTTAGAGCAATTTTATAAAAGTAAGCTTGAACTTTTGATTATGTCAAATAGAATTTCCGATATATCTTACGAATATTAAAGGATCTACAAAGCGAAGTATGTTTCGAAGTCCATTAACAAAAAATGGAATTGCTGCAAAAAATGGATAAAGGCATATTCTTTTTTTCTCCAACCATTCCGAAATCTGTTTATCAATTTCACGCTGCTCTGCGGACGAGGGGGGATACCACGGTGCACAATGAATTGGAATTTGATCTGTCAGCACTATCCTTATCTTCAGGGCAGATGTTTTTATTTTATTTGGCTTATAATTCCTTACTAAATATAGTATTTCATCTCGATGTACTCTGATATGATTTAAATCAAATTCATCATCATTATAATTCGCTTCCGATAGTGAAGAAAGTGACACAGAGGTTATTGAAAACGAAAAAATTTCGATTGACAAGTTAGTCAGAATTCTCGACACAGCAATTACAGAACTTGAACAGGGGAACTTTGTAACTGAACAGAAATTATGTCTGCTTATAAATTAAAGAGAAGTATTATCACATGAAACGAAGCAAAACTTAAAACAACTTACATTGAAAGAAATGTTTAATAAAGTAAACAAATAATATTAAGCTTTTTCTTTTTTGCAATTTTGATACCCTTTAGATCATAATGTTCTTTATTTCATAAATTACGGTTTCATATTTTTAATTTTATAATTTCTGCATGCCATCTTACCAGATTTAAACCGATGATCTATAATACGGAAAAATCGATAATCCGGAATCGCCGAAGTCCCGACGAGTCCGGATTAACGACTTTTGACTGTACTTCAGTCAAGCAATATGGCCATTTTTGCATGCTTCTTTAGGCAATCGTGCTCATATCAATACTTCAGTCAAGCAATATGGCCATTTTTGCATGCTTCTTTTCATTATATTCCAAGTTCAAATAGTTTTTATGGACAAACAGCATTTTCCTCTTAAAGTGAATTTTAAAATATGCCACTATGGAATTAGCTCGCAATGGAAAAAATCTGCAGTAAAATTTCTGCAAGAATACAAATTTTCCTGCAAAATTGATAAAAGGAAGAATGTGGACATACATTTGGTACATAACCATTATTGCCAAGGTTGTGCACAATGCCAAGTCTCAACAATTCTCAAAAGTTTTTCAAGCAAAAACAGATCATTGTATACATGAAGAAAACAGCACAAAAAACTACAGAAAGGTTTGGCAAAGAATGTAAGCATTTTACTTTTTAAATGTATTATTATACGTCTTAACTACTAATTAAAACTTCTATATTGTTGCTAAAGTGTGTTTTCTTTTTTTCATACATTGAAAATATTTGCCAACTTACCATAAATATCTTTGGGAATCTTTAAAAGCTGCAAAACCTGTCAACATGCACCAATTACCTTCTCATCTGTGAAAACACACAAGATTGGGCCAAGATGGTTGTGTTAATATACAAGTACCTTAATTTCATATATTTTCTCTTACTTAAAAGGTAAATAGGAAAAGAAAGAAAAATCCAAGCACCAGGACAAGGCAATAATGCCTATGTTTTATTTAGGCACTGATGCAAAAGATTATTGGGATTTATGTATTATAAGTCCGAAATACAAAAAATCAGTCATTCTCATCAGGAATGGTACCTGAATGGTGTTCAACTAATAGTTGAACACTAGTACATTAATTAGCATAGAAAATCAAGAGTATACTTAGTATGCTCCTTAAATCATATAAACACAGTTTATTCCAATACTGATCCAGTTAAAAATGACTGCAACTACAGTATAACTAGCAACTACAGTCATAAAAGCATGATGCAGTTAAAAAAATTATATGTTACTCAATAAATATTAAACCACACAACTTACTTCCAAGCCATCTGATGTCCATATTACAGCTGAACTGTCAGCAGAAGTAGATATAAGTTCATTTTCGAATGCTAAAAACATCCAAATGAAGAAATTTATCAGAAAAATGAAATTTATATGCACTGCAAATAAAAATATAGTGTGGAACATACCAAAATATGATAATTTTAATTTTAAAAAAAGAATTGTTTAATGGTATTTACAGTTATTTGTGCCCTCTAAAAAAAGTCATGAACTCACTGCTGACTTTGAGAAGCATTCATGAACGTGTCGACGAATAATTTTTCTGATACTACAAACTAACTTTTTAACATAAAATATAAATTATAAATCTCTTGCATATAAAAATATGCCTGAATAGTGATATATTTATTTCAAATCTTAACTAAACAATGGATAATGGTACAAAAATAAATAAATAAACTTACAATCATCACATTTTTTAATCCAATGAACTGATGTTACGATCTTCTTATGGCCAACTAAAGTTTGCAGATGTGATCCGCCAGTACCCTTCTGCAAAATTTATCACTTATTACACATATGTTGAAAGTTCTTTGTTATAGCTCAGATTGAAAATACAATTTAACAAAATGCTCTGAATAAATAACTAAAAGTTACCTCCATAACATCACACAAAATACCTAAAAGATGAGTAATATAAATTTGGTACTTTCTGATTATTTTAGCATTCATCAGAAAGACACAAAAAAGTACAGTACAAAGACCGTAATCTGTAAGTCCATTATTCGGAATGATCTATAATCCAGACCTCAAAGCCACAAACTTACGCATGTGCGTTTGATGCGTGCGTCCGCTATGCATGCACATAAAGCCAGTAAAGCGTTTACACATGTGCACTTCTGACAGTGAACAAAGTGACAGAGAGCTTATTGAAAACGAAAAAATTTCGATTGACAAGTTAGTCGGAATGCTCCAAACAGCGGTTCCAAGACTTCAACAATGTAACTGAAGTGAAAGAGATTATGTCTGTCTATGGAATTAAAAAGAAAGTATTATCACAAAAAACAAAGCAACTTAAACAACATACATTGAACGAAATGTTTAAAAAGGTAAACAAATAAATATTAAGCTTTGTTTTGTAATTTTGATACCCTTTAGATCATAAATATTTCATGATTTCATAAATCCCGATTTCATATTTTTAATTTTATAATTTCTGCATGCCATCTTACCAGATTTAAATTGATGATCTATAATCCAGAAAATTCCCTAATCCGGAATCGCCGAAGTCCCCACGAGTCCGGATTACGGGCTTTGTGCTGTATTGATGAGGCAATGCACAATTATACCAAAAACTCTTGATTATCCAGGCTAATGTCGTTCACAGATAATCCAAATATCAATTTTCATGCAAACTGCATGCATTTTTTTCTTAAGAAAATCAGCAATTTTACTTTAGTTTTGAGAACATTTAAATATTTCTGGACCTAGAGATGCAATTTAGTTTTTTAAGAGCCCACTCGTACTTACACCTGCTTGTTTTTTATACATTCTCACACTTAGCATTGAATGTGCATGCATGACACACAAGGATAATCCACAAACCGAATAATCTGTATGCAGATAATCAAGAATACTGTATTTGACAATACTAGTATATGCATAGCACACGTATGTTTGAGTAAATGTAGATTTGCACGCTTGGGAATTCAGTGGTATACTGGTGTGCAAAACGTAAGCAACAGGTGTTCTTTTTGCAATAACTCCACAAGAAATCATCTGAGACACTTGAAATTCAGAAATGAGAGACAGCATTTTGTATTTAAACGATGATGAAAGCTTAGTAGCACAAAAATGAATACAGTGCATACAGTATGGAATCAACTAAAAAAAGGCTTTATTGAACTCATACTATCGTTGCAAATGATTGCCTGTACAAGAGGAAGAACAAGCAGATGTTCCTTAGTATGGGATATGCCCTCTCCTTACGGCAATGGTTGCTTTGCACCATCTCTCCATACTTAGCACCAGATTGGCCAACACATCTTGAGGTTAGAATGCCAAGTTAAAGAATTTCACAAACTCGGTATCCATGTACACGCTGACCTATTTTCACTTTAAAAAAATCAGAGAATTGCACAAGTTAGGCACTGCGTACTCCCTTGACTTTTTCCATGTACACATCGATCTATATTTACTTAAAAAGTCAAAGTAGCAGCCAACAAAAAATACATAATCTCAACAAACTACGTATTAAATCAAACAATGAAATAACATAAAAAAGGATATTCATCTTAGCACTACACAAAGAAAATATCTACTTACATTATTTACAAATTTTCATATCTTCAGTCAAACCAAATTCTTTAACAGCATCCAAAAACTTCCTAAAATTATCTGAACTAGAATCTGTATACTGGCGTCTTCACAAAAATAAGAGTTGAAAATATCCTCTATAGTGCTAGTATCCTCCAACGTTCGACCATATGCTTTTCCTTCCCACAAATAGGACATTTATAAAGGCTACTAAGTAAACCTTGATTTACACACCCGTCAATTAATCCTTTTTTCTCTTTCATTCCAAATCGTATAGAAATTCAAATTAATCTTACCACATTCAGCCATTTTACTGTGTAAAACACAAAATAACCAATGTACTTCCTAATGAATGTGCACAAAAGCCCTTACAAATCTTTTCCCATCATTCAACTTCACCTCAAACAAGCAACTAATTACGTCATAATAGGGTTTCCATAAAATTCAACTACTCAAGTTACCATAAATGAAACAACTTGGCGATAAATGAAGTAACAACTTAGCAATAATCCAAGGGGCACCCTTAAATCTACTCTAACCAGAAAAAGACATAAAGCAGAGATATCAGAATAAATTGGAAACTCAATTTAAAAAAATCTCATATGAAAGGAAATGGAGTGCACAAATGAGAAATGGCATTTGATTAAAATGATTATTATTGAAACTGGCGAAAAGTCTTAGGAAGGGCAATGAACAGATTTTTGAAAAATGCAGAGAAATTTGGAATCAATACACACAATCTTTTTATCAATTTCAGAAATGTGTATGATTCTTTAACAAGGAATTACTTATACAGGCCTTCAATGAACTAAATATTCCAGAAAAACTTACTGCACTGGTGGCTTTGACTCAAAGCCAAGCTAAATGAATATGTATCTTGGAAACCAAGATACATATTCATTTACAAGATGATCTCACACAACAACTTGAGGTCAAGAATGGAATAAGACAGGAGGATGGGCTAATCTTTGGAATATGGTAACAGGTAGTTTGGCGACATTTTGCTAAGGCGATAAAGGTTACTAGCTAGGACTTTAGCGGTGTACATGGATAAAGTCAAGAGTGTGCGCAATGCCATTTTTGTTCAATTCTGAGATGTTTTTTTAAGTGAAAATAGGTTGACGCGTACATGGACGATACCGTGTATGTGGAATTCTTAAAAATGCGGCAAGCAATGGGCGATTCTGCACTTTCTCCCAATTTCGCACCTAATCTTCATCATGAATAAGCACTTTTGTTCCATAAAAGTTCTAGCATAAGCGTAATTCGGCTAGCAGATTGTTGGAAAAAAATGTTGAGTAAAAAAAAGCCTTTACTTCGTGAAAACAAAATGGCGTAAAAAAAAAAAAAAAAAAAAAAAAAAAACTAGCAGAAAAATCACCAAATTTTCGCCAAAAAATTGCCAAGTTACCATAATCCGAAGATTAACCGGAGGATGCTTTGGGATGCCTCATTTTAATACTGAATTTGAAAAAAATATTAGAGATTCTAAGATCAATACTATAGGAAATATTTTTAATAAGATTATTCAATTACTCACTTATGCAGATGATATTTGCATTGTTACCCATATTGCTATTGCTCTTACACAGGCATTATGACACTGGGAAAAAGTACAAAAAATTGAAACTATCTGTTCACAAAATTAAAAGGGTACTATTCGGTTTTGAGGGCCGTAAAAAATCGCCAAACTATTGTTGATGCCAATGCTGCCAAAAATAATTGCGGCAACCCTAATAATTGCAGCAAGAAAGGAAGTACAATAGTAAATAACTATTTAAGATTGATGTTTTAATTTAGATGAAAGGTTAATTTCATATAATACTTTTTTATTATTATAATTTATATGAAAAAGGCTAAACATGACTGAATGAAAGCATAAGAGTAAATAACTATTTCAGATCATTATTATAATTTATATAAAAATTGCTAAACATAACTGAATGGATGCCTGCATCGCTATTTCGCTACCACTTATCGCTAAAGCATAATTTCATCTCGTTGGTTGTTCAAAAGTAATTTTCTATAATGAATGATGCCTTTCCTTTGAAAATATTCTCGGTAAAGGGCAGAATCGCTCACTTATTTGTTTGCCGCTTTTTACAAGGGTAAAAACAATTAGATTTTTGTCAATTTTCTTTTTACTTTTTAAGTGAAAATAGGTCGATGTGCACACAGATAAAGTCAAGGGTGTGCGCAGTGCCATTTTTGTGCAATTCTAGGATTTTTTTAAAAATAAAAATAGGTCGATGTGCGCATGGATACCGAGTACTTGCAATTCTTAAAAACGCGTCAAGCAGTAGGTGATTCTGCACTTTACCCAAAATTCTCTTGCCGACTTTTTGTCATGGGCAATTCCCAAATTGTGAAATCCACAGGATATCAAAAAAGGATTTAAATCAAAAAATAATTTAAAAATTAAACTAGTATTTCAATGGCGTCTTAAGAAATATAGAACTATTGCTATCTGAAATCAGCGCGTACGCTAGATTTGGCACGCTGTTTAATGGGCGCGTTTGCTAGATTTGGCGCTTTTGCGCGTACATTTTCGATGCAATTTTTTTACGGCCCTCGAAACCGAATAGTACCAATAAAAGTAAGTATATGTCTTGTTCAAGATCTGACTTGTCCCTTAGTTGTTTAGAAATTAATACTAGTTATGGATTTGAAAAGTCTACAGTTTCACTTATCCGAAAATGGAGATGAAATGCAAAAATGAGACAATGGTACAACTCTAATATACGCCCTAATTTCACCAAATGTGGCGATATGTGTTCTGCGCTGGTTTTTGGCACGATTGCGTGTTCTATGGCAACCCTGTTGACGTTGAAAAATCTTTCGCTGGAGCTCGTTCATTCGTCTCTGTGTCTGAGAAGATGGGAGGGAAAGATAAAATGGTAGTTGTTGAATTGAAGTTCGGCAAAAGGAAATATCATTGTGGCTATCCTGTTGAGGGTAGTGGGTATTTGGAAGTGTGGAAAGAGGGTCTGGGAGATTATTTTTAATGGCAGTGCATGATAGAAGTAGGGATTTTGTGATTTTATTTATTTGTGAACCATAGTATAAATTTTCTGGATAGTGTGTCTGGCTGTCATGTAAATACGATAGTGATTACGTGGCGGCATGATAAAGGCGGTATGAAATTTATATTTCTGCTATTCGAAAACGCATTAATTCATAGTAAGTGCATTTTATTTTATCCTTGTTCTTATTTTATAGAATGTTATGTTCATTGGTTCTTTAGTATGAATTTCTGTCGTTGTTGTTTTTTAAATTGTTTGAAATTTATTTTGTTGTTTAGTGCCTAGACTGTGCAATTCGTAGATGTTTTTTAAAGTTGAAACAGAATGCTGTGTACATGGTATTATTTGAAATTTATTGTTGTTATGTTAATTTATTAAAGCGAGGTGTGCATAGTTTGTAGATTCGTTCGTTGCCTACATTGTGCTATTCGTAGACGTTTTTTTAAGTTAAAACATGTCGCCGTGTACATGGATTCTTGTCAAATATTTTTGGTTAGAAACTTTACGTTTCTGCTATCTAAATTTTTTGTTTTTGTTTCGGATTTTTAGCTAAAATGTATGTTGAAAACGTAGTTTTTGCATGTGCGAAAACCGCGTTTTTGGAGACATTTTAGGCTAAAAGTTCGAAATGTAGACAAAAAATTTAGATAGTAATATGGCAGCGTGAAGTTTCTCGCCAAAAATATTTGGCGCGAAATTTGGCGACTTGAGGGCGCATATCAGAGTAGTTCCAAGATAACTTCTGAAACAGAAGTTATGTCATTTTTATCACATTTATTTGCAGTGGAGAATTTTTCCTAAAGAATAGAAGTTCTCAAGGCTTCAAGACCTATTTAAAATCCAGCTTTCTGAAGTTAAGAACTAAATTACTTATTTACAAAAATCTTATAAGATCTGTCTTGACTTATGGATCAGAATCTTGGGTGTCGATTTTATGTTATAAGAAAGTTTTGGAAATTTTTGAGAGGATTTTGCATTGCATACTTGGCAGGGTCCGTGTAAATGGATTGTGGAAAAGAATATCTAATTTGAAGCTATATCAGATCTATACACAATCTGATGGAGTAAAATTTTTCTTGAAAATGACCTAAACATTCTAAATGTCAAAAATTGCATGGGTGTTTTCATAGTTTTTCCCAGGTGTAAAGTGTATATGAGCCAGTTCTCCACATGAGTATGCATCCCCTTAATCTCCCATATAGCCCTGGAGAGTGTTCCAGTAATCAAATACACCAAAGTAGAGCAGGATGTTCCACAGAAGGGAAAGTGCAATCAGCTTTACATCCGATAAAATTAGTTTCACTGGCCAAATAATTTCAGAGGCCTAGGTGATAAATACAGTTGGTAGCTTGTGCAAGTTAAAGCTAATAATAAATCAAAGTGTAATATTTTATTTATTTGCTATTTGTGAGAACAACTTGTGCCCTCCGAAAAACTGACGGTCTAGTAGTAACCTAAATCTAGATATGGAAACCCCTAAATAGTGCATAAAACAAAAGATATGATCCTATATTTTCAAATTATTAAAATAACATGCTTGTTTCTTGGTTCGGCTAAAGTGCAGAATTGCCTACTTATTTGTTTGGCGCTTTTTTAAAAAATTGGATTTCTGTCAATTTTGTTTGACTTTTTAAGTGAATAGGTCGATGTGTACATTGATAAAAAGGAGTGCACAATGTCATTTTTGTGCAATTCTTGGATGTTTTTTAAAGTGAAAATAGGTCAATGTGTACATGGATATCGAGTATGTGCAATTCTTAAAAACGCGCCAAGCAGTAGGCGATTCTGCACTTTCCCCTTTGGTTCTTCTGAAAGCTAGTTTACCCATTTAGCGCCTAAAACCTCAAATTAAGGGTCATTTTTTAAATTATTAAATGGAAAAATGCATAATACAGCTAGCTGATTTATATGTTCATATTAAAATGCTTATATATCTATCGATATTTAAGATAAAAAAAATATTAGTATCTATCTAGAAATATATAATGTTTGTAATCATTACGATAAATAAGATGAGTTCTTTTCCAATATTCCAATATAGTCACAGCGTTCTTACCTCATATTTATACAGCTCAATTCCATTACAAGAGCCATAACATATAATATTATTTTTACTCCAATCTAAAATATTTGGAGACCTGTTACATGCAGAACTTGAATATACACATTTAACCGGAGATGACATTACGTATACGTATACAAATCGGTATATTTATAATAATTTATATTTTATAGATATGTGCAATCAGATTTCTAAAAACTCAATACAATCAAAATCAATAATAGATATACACATTCGAAAACATGCCAATGTCAGTAAACAATGTGCTCTGAAGACAGCATTAGCCAAGGCACGATGTTAATCAAGGGGCTTATTTTCAGCAAATATTGAAATTGGCAGTGTGCATCGGAAAAACAATTATATGATTATTTATATAAATTTATTTGTTCACTTGTTTAACTCCTTTACTTCTTTTCCTAATGTGCATTAGTTTCACGTATTTGGAAGTTCATTCAAGATCCAAAGCATAACAGAAACAGATGACAATCAAACACGGTTGTAGGAAAAAATGTCACCCGGAAAAAAGGGAAACGGAAAGAATGTCCCCGGAAAATAAGGAAAGGAAAAAATGTCACCCTTCGTTTGCAATGAGAAATATAAGACATGTTTAGAAAGATCGCCAAGCTGGGTGATAAAAGTTTTATCTCAACAACCGTAACTTCGGATGACCGGAAACATGTCCGAGTAGAAGCAAGCAGATGTGTTGGCTGCTTGTTTCTTCCATGGAGCCTACCTCCATGGTTTCTTCGTTAAGGTTAAAAATAGAGAGTTGTTTAGAGAAGAAAGCTTTCGCGATGGAAGCCAGGGGGGAAAGCGGGTTGTCCAGCGTCGGTCATTGTCAGGTCTTTAGTAATTACTCTCCTCGCACCCCATGTAGTTATAGCCTTAAGCTGCGGTTTAGTGAAACATTTATTGACGCACTATAGAAAACTAATTCATCCTGAGCTTTGGTATAAGCAACAGTTGTAGATGCAATTTCAAGTTACGGTTTGCGATAAGAACAGGACTAAATTTTTTACCTAATTAATTTTCGCATAATTTTTTTTCTCATTTGATTTGATTAAAAGTAACGCATCTGCACAGGAAACAATTGTTTAATTTTGCACTTAAGTTTTGAAAACAAGAATACCACAGTTATTAAAATTAAGAGGTTTATTTCAAAATTATTAGTCCCTGAGGGACTAATAATGTTGAAATAAACTAATGTTTTCAGTTTGTGATTTTGCGTCGAATCACTCTGAATGTCCGTTTCACTTTTCAAACTGTTGCCACCAAATATTGTGATAAAACAACGGTACCTAGAGCCATCGAGTTTCGAATGACGTAATCCTACTGCTGGAAGCCCAAATTTGAAATTTGGAATTAGTTTTATTATCGATTTTATATTTTGTAACGAATTTTTGATTAACAAACTCAAGAATTTCAAAGCGAGCCATGGCAACGTTGTACAGAAAAAACATTTTTAATCTCCAGCGCGTGAGACTGTGAGACTGTGAATCGGAAATTCTAAAAATGTGCTCAATTTAAAATTATTTTGCGATACTGCTCTTGAACTGAATTTTATGGTCTAAGTGCGAAGAATATGATATTTAATAAATAAAGGTAACACACAAAATGTTAAAAAAAAGGCCCATTTGAACGTAATTTAAAATCTGAAACCTTTCAGATTTTTTATTTTACTAAAATTTTAAAATCTAATTAAAATGGATCCTATAACCACGCGATCTGGATTTAAACATTTAATATGCAATGAACCCTCTTATGGCGACCTCCTCCAAATAATTTCTCAGAGTAGAAATTAACACTTGTACCGAGTATTATCTCTTTAAGACGACCACTT